TCAATCGCATGTGCGTGAAAGTTGTGCTCATTTCTAAAAGCAACAGAAAGAAGTCGTCGCGCCCACGAAATAATATGCCTTTTCCTCAACATAGGATCTCAAGTTCACAACTTTACATCGCATATAGCCTAAAGGGACCGGGATCACAGTCCCATGAATTAATATCGACATCATCACATTCCTAAGACTTAAAATGCCCCCTCCCGGTCTCCGTAGAATTCCAAGCATTTCCATTGCTTTCCAATTCTTCCATTACTTAGAATTTTTGTGTTTTCAGTGTCCCAATGCTCTTTGGGGGCAGTGTATATCCACTCAAGCAATGCATATAATGTGCTTGGAATTACAGATGAGGAAAACTTTTGGAGGAAAAAGTTCTGGCAATGGTGCAAATGATAGAGCAAAAACAACACAAAGAATATCAACAAGTAAAAACACTTTAGCTGTCAGATGTCAGTGGTGTCTATTGCATGCAGTTGTTTTGCAGATGACAACCACAGATCTGTTAAAAGGGGTTATGTTCAATGCAAAAAAGTCTCTGAAGCGGCACTCGCACAGAATGTAATGAGAAATGCACCTGGCAAAAACCTCATAAAAACAACTACAATATTAACCCCCAGAGACCCATTGAAGCACAATTACAACACTGTTAAGCAATTAAATAAAACATATTATGCACTGATTATATTAATTATGTACTGGCAAGGCTACTCAAGAAAGTCAAAGCATATGTACTTAACTTTTATAGTAACTACCTCTGTGTAAAAATATGATCAATAGGTCATGACAATATACATAGTATTTATACAATTCATATATTTTACATTAATTTAACTTGAAGTGAAAAGAATTTAACTTATTTTGAAAAGTTCACTTTAATACAAGATTTAAGATTTTAGTTTAATATACCATAATTCAAGTTGAAATTAATTATATAACTAAGTTGATTGTAGTTGAAAATCTATAGGGCAGCAACTGAACTTTTTTTTTTTTTTATAGTGTAAAAACGAGCAACCAGTTGGATTTAACCCATTAAACTTCTTTATAGGCCTCACTGTACCTGAAAGTTACGGATCAGCTGTCACTGTCCCTCAAAGCACCGTCGCTCTGAATCTCAACAGGGCATCACATCCAAATGCTGAGGAACTGAAAAGATGAGTCAGTTCAGACAATTTATGGCAATTTTATATCTGATGTATTTCGGGTTTTATAGTTAGCACAGTTGGCGGCTGATATCCCACAATCTTTCCTCAGTGATTCCTTTCTGCTTCAGTGTTGTAGTACAAGGCTCTAGGACTACTTTAAACGAATTGCTCTTTGAGTCACAGGTATAATCAGAAAGAATAATCTAATGATTATATCCCAAGGATTTCTTAAACTGTGATGATTTAGTACCGTGGCACCAACAGGAAATGAACAACAATGCCGGTCACAAATAACAAAAGAGGCCATTTGTAAGAATTTAGGAGCTGCATTGAAAAATTCAGTCCCAGCTTGTATATTTTCATCTATCTATCTATCTATCTATCTATCTATCTATCTATCTATCTATCTATCTATCTATCTATCTATCTATCTGTCTATTTAACTATCCGTCTGTCTTTATTTATCTATCCGTCCGTCCATATCGTCCATCCATCCATCCCTGTTCTGTCCATCCATCCATGTTCTATCCATCCATCCATCCATTCATCCAGTTCTATCTGTCTGTACATCCATCCCTGTTCTATCCATCCATCCATCCCCATCTGTCTGTACATCCATTCATCCAGTTCTATCTGTCTGTACATCCATCCATCCATCAATCCATCCAGTTCTATCTGTCTGTCCATCCATCCACCAATCCATCCATCCAGTTCTATCTGTCTGTACATCCATCCATCCATCCATCCAGTTCTTTCTGTCTGTACATCCATCCATTTAGTTATATCTGTCTGTCCATCCATCCATCTATTTATTTATATCTGTCAGTCTATCCATCGTCCTGCCATTTCGTCCATCCATCCGCCAGTCCGCCCATATCGTCCATCCATCCGTCCGTCCATCCACCTGTCCATCCATCCATGTTCTATCCATCCATCCATCCCTGCACCCGGTTCTATCCGTCTGTCCATCCATCCATCCCTGTTCAACCTATCCCTCCATCCATCCATCCAGTTCTATCCGTCTGTACATTCATCCATCCATCCATCCAGTTCTATCTGTCCATCCATCCATCATTCCATCCATCTCCATAGTTTAATGTAACAGTATTCTAATGATGGGTAAAAAAAAATGATAAATAATGACGTTCATAACAAGCCCTGAATGTGGTATATTGGTTAGAATGGACTAATTACAAAGGAAACAACTTGAATCACTCGACACCATTACCTTCGAATCCAAACCAACTTGAACCGTTTAGCTGAATTCAGTGACTCCCCGGCTTGGTGAAATTAGAGCCTCATCTGCATGCCTGCGACCATCCTGACACCTGCAGTGCTAACAGGCAATTTGCCGACTAATGATCTGAAAAGAAGGTGACTATTAATAATAATAATAGCAGAACAACAGTTAGTGGTACTCAGACAGAAAATACTGTTACTCTATTGCTGCAGTTATTATTTTTGAAGCAATGCAAAAAAGTAGAAACAATTCAATTCACACTTGAGTGTTACATGCAAATTATTTTAAATTGCTAATTTAATCTCAGAATATAAACATACTAAAATAAAATGTTATAGTATTAATATCTGTTTGATAATGTAAAATGCCACACACCACTGGATTCTGTGTATGTGTGTGCTCTTACCAAGGTTAATTGCCAATCTGATCCCTAAGATCTCTGTTAGCCTCTCTCTGCCATGACTCAGACCTTTCTGCGGTGATGTCTGTCATTAATGTTTCCAAGCTCAAGCGCTCCTTCGAGAGAATCCAGACAGTTGCTTGTCTACTGATGGGGCCGTATTGATAAATGAAAAGCATTAAGCAGAAGCTTGTTTGATCTGCTCAGTGGAGGAAGCCACATAAACTGCTGGCATACCAATTTACACCCAGCATTTATCTTTCCTTGCATGCTGTCTTGAAGCACTCAAACAGACCATGTTTATTTTTAACTAATGTAATCTAATAAATTATAATATATGCACTTTTCATAAACTCAAAGCATAGACAAGACATGCGAGTGTCTGACAACAATACCTTGACGTGCTGATTTACTTTGGCTAACTTTTCAATCGTATTTGAGGAATTCTGTTTATAATAAGCTGAGTTGGTACTTTATCATTAGGCAGTGCAAGACTAATATGTCTATAATGGTTAATGTTGATTAAGTGAGATGTTTAATGATCATAATGCAAGGCAAGCATCACATAAATAAGTACATTGCATTTGTTTTTCAGTTATTCATCCAACAGTATTGGATTTGACTGTTTGATTCACATTAAGTAGGCTATTTTAAATGAATCACATATACAGACTTTTTTGACAGTCCTCTGGGGATTTGTTACACTAGTCGGTTACAAAATGTTAAACATTAATAAAAATAGTCATGGGGCACATCTAGAATATATATACAGTAGCTGATGAGGTCTTGGGGTGATGGGCTCTTTTGACTTGGGTCCGGAAGCAAGCACTCACTCAGTATCAAGCACGCACCATATCATTCTGGCAGCAAGTCAAGTTCCAGTCACATTTTTTTCCATATTTTATAGCATTTTGTAGTCCAGATGTCATACTGTATATTTATATTCTCTAGTCAAAATGCAATAAATCATTAGATCCATTTAGTGCAAAACACATTCAGTAACACCTGGAGTGTTTTGACTGAATTTTCACCTGCAGGAATGAAATTAACTTTTGCCAACCATGGTTTCATAATGGCACATTTGTATGAGCTACAAAGATGTCAATAAATTATGTAAAATCAAAGTCAATAATAGGCACTTCACAGTAAAAAGGAGGCAAACAATGGGAAAAAATATCTCAGCTGTGCATGCAACGATGGTACAGATTTTTTTTCCCCTTCAACGCCCACAATTCCATTTGGCTTGATCTTTGAATGTACAAATGATTTTTTTTTTGTGCCGTTTCCTTTATTCACAAGTTAAGTGGTGGCATATAAGTTTAACATCAAGCTAACTGAAACAAAAAAGAGACAATAAAGAAAGGTGAGTAATTAGATTTTAGAAATGCCTTTTACTTTCTAATTATAGGTTCAAAACAGCAGTAATAATATTCTTCTTGAAATTGGATGGATGGATGGATGGGATGGGATGGATGGGATGGAATGGAGGGATGGATGGGATGGAATGGAGGGATAAATGGAATGGAATGAGGGATGGATGGAAGGAATGAGGGATGGATGGAATGGAATGGAGGGATAAATGGAATGGAATGAGGGATGGATGGAAGGAATGAGGGATGGATGGAATGAGGGATGGATGGAATGGAATGGAATGGAAGGATGGATGGATGGGATGGAATGGATGGATGGAACAACAGACAGAACTAACGAACGACAGACAGAATGGATAGACAGTATAGTTGATAGATTGATGGATGGAACAATGGACAGAACTAATGAAAGAACGACAGATAGACAGTATAGATGGATAGATGGATGGATGATGGATGGAACAACGGACAGAACTAACAAACGAATGACAAACAGAATGGATAGATAGACAGTATAGATGGATAGATGGATGATGGATGGATGGAACAATGGACAGAACTAACAAACGAATGACAGAGAGCATGGATAGATAGACAGTATAGATGGATGATGGATGGATGGAACAACGGACAGAACTAACGAACGAACGACAGACAGAATGGATAGACAGTATAGATGGATAGATGCATGGATGATGGATGGAACAACGGACAGAACAACGGACAGAACTAACAAACGAATGACAGACAGAATGGACAGATAGACAGTATAGTTGATAGATGGATGGATGGAACAACAGACAGAACTAAAGAACGAACGACAGACAGAATGGATAGACAGTATAGATGGATGGATGGAACAATGGACAGAACTAACAAACGAACGACAGACAGAATGGATAGATAGACAGTATAGATAGATAGATGGATGGATGATGGAACAATGGACAGAACTAACGAACGAACGACAGACAGAATGGATAGATAGACCGTATAGATGTATAAATGGATGGCTGGATGAAACAACAGACAGAACTAACAAACGAACGACAGACAGAATGGATAGATAGACAGTATAGATGGATAGATGGATGGAACAACGGACAGAACTAACGAACGAACGACAGACAGAATGGATAGATAGACAGTATAGATGGATAGATGGATGGAACAACAACGGACAGAACTAGCGAACAAACGACAGACAGAATGGATAGATACCGTATAGATGGATGGATGGAACAACGGACAGAACTAACAAATGAACACCAGACAGAATGGATAGACAGAATAGATAGATGGATAGATTGATATACACTATTGATAGAGCAACAGAAGACACAATAAAAGAGCCTCACCTCTGTGACATGACTGACATATTGTACAGTTCTTCTGTGATATCTTCACTCAAACACTATCTGCAATCTCTGTTCCTGTAGTTCAAAGAGACCGAGACATTGAAGAATAATGTTGCTTTTTGCCCGGGTTGGTTATCTGCACTGGTTGATCATCAAGCTCTCATATTCGATTCATGGGACACCCTCTGTGCTCTGGTAAGTATTGTGTTTCTGCTAATTCAAATGGCTGCTTGTATGATAACGCTAATGAGACTTTTTGCAATTAACCTGATGGTCTCAACAGGTAGGCCTGAGGGGGAATTGTGCTGATGTCATTATGGGTTACATCACAGCGAAAAGAGAATATCTGAAAAGAGTAGTCTCTAAATAAATCAGAAGCTGAGCCAGAGGACACCGTCGTGCTACTCCAATGTGGCGATATTAAAATGGGAGGTATGATGTTGTGCGATAAAAGCGGGGCTCTAACTTGACTGAGAAAGCGTGTATACAATACACAATGTGTGTTATAAATTATTGGCTTCTTCTGACAGGGAATGGATGAGTTATGCCCGTGTATTAATCATCTTCTGCCCCTCGGCTTGGCTATTCTCTTCATTTTCTTTCTTCAGAGCCTACTTTGAACATAATAAATTTACTTTCCACACAAAGTCTGTCTGTTCTAACTGTCTTTAGTTTGAGCCTGATCCTTAAGCCTCTTCTGTTCCACAAGGAATAAGAAATCGACTTCCTCCATCTCATCCATTTGCTGTAGAAAGTAACTGACCAATCGTTGATGCTACTGGGCTTTGGGTTAGCAGACAGGGAGAGTTAAAGTCATGCATTCTAATCACACGCTAATCAGTCCAGATTAGAACTGATACAGAGAGAAAATGGATTCATCCCCTCACCCCTTGAGATTCTGGAGTTTAATGGAGATGGATAATGCTTGTGATATATTCTTCAAAGACTCCCAGATTGATTGCATGTCCATCAATGCACAGTAAGTAGGTATCCGATGACTGACACCTGAACATCAATGCTAAATGATGCTTCACCTGAAATACAGGACAAATTCAAAATGGGCTGTTAGCAAAGTGTAGAGCAACACTAAAACAAAAAGTATTTCTTTATAAACTTCTACTTGAGAATAATTTGAGCAAGCTCTGGTTTGTCAGGCTCAAGATGGACTAGTTTTTAGGGTGTTCGTCACAGTGTTACTTAAGCTACACGGCTAACCAGCTCCGTTTTATGGGTTATAGATTGCAAACTAAAATTGGACCAGCTGTGAGCAAAGTGACATACAGTATAGACGAATCCGACGAGCGTTCTGTGTAGGCTGCCATCTTGTGGCGACGCCATTACTGAGCTGTTACACAGGCATATAGACATATGCACCGGTATGTAAACAAACCTCGGTGATAACGCGAACGCACCCTCGATGACAGCTACAGCCAGGCAGAATGACTTGTTGGGTTGATGATGTTAGACAGTGGCCTCCAGTCACAGATGAAGGTACAAACGATCTTACAGATTATTTATGAAAATAGCTTGGCAAGCTAGCTAGGCTAACGTTTGCTAACGAGGAAACTATAAAAACATCTGTCCATTTGGCAACAATAAATAAATAAATGAAATCAAATAAACAAATTCATGTTTTTCCATTTGTGTCCATTATTTATCTCATTTTCACATTGCAACGGGCATGGGTAAGGTAAGGTTACAGCTAGAAAGTATACATAATATCGACCAATTAGAGTTTTTAAACCATGGAAAGAGGTCAATATAACAGCGGGAGAACAATTATGTCACATAACGTTATATTTAGCTCAGGAAAGCCATTTAATGACCATAGCATGTTAATTGAATAGAAAAAATAGCAAGAGAGGAGATTTTGCTGATCACTATAGCACATATTTATTATATTTTTTACTTATGTCATTAAATAATTGTTATTAAACGCGAATGTCCGCGTCTTGTACTCACCCAGGAAATCTTTGTAAACCGTACGGCTCCAGACAGGGGCAGTCGACCCGGGGTATTCACAATGTTTTCTCTTCAAAATTGAAATTTTACTGCCACCATAGAAACAATTTATAACGGAAACTGTTTACCCAGTCGACATTGTACAAGGGGTAACGTTGTAACGTTAGTGACAGTCGTAAATCGCGGGCTGTTTATTCCAGTGGACGCAAGCTACAAAAACAATAGGAGGCAATGGCGCAACACTACCCAGCAACAGATCAGTAATGGCGCCCGTTTACTTCCGGTAGTTTCGCCGGATTCGTCTATAGACCATTTCACAAGATGTAAACAACACTGGTCCAGAAGCACTTCCTGTTTCAGTTTTTTAACACTACATAAAAGCTGGGATAAAATACAACCAACAGAACATTTAAAACTGAATCAAAAAGTTAAAGAAACATCTTTAAGATGTTTTCTTTACATGTGAAATAAAGAAAACAGTTACAAACTGAAACAGGAAGTGCTTCTGGACCAGTGTTGTTTACATCTTGTGAAATGGTCTATATGACAGGTCACCATGATTCTACCCATCAAGACACATTTTTATTGTGATGGCCCTCCAAAAGACATTCGACTGACTAAGTAACATTGCAACTACATGTCAAATAATTCTAAACTCTAACTAGTCTACAAATACTCAACTCAACCTCTAATGAGAACAAGTTGACATAGGTGCACCCTTCATACATACGAAGTTCAAGTGTCCTTTAGAGTAAGGGATAGTGATGCTCACGTTTGATTAAAATTCGCCCATTCATCAAGCAGATTCTTCAAGAAGTGCAATTTGGCAGTCATAACAAGGATAATTAATGTGGAGGAGAATAATAAAGCATATTTACCAAAGAAAATCAAGCTAATGCAACTCCTCAAGCCTAATACAGAGAGAGAGATTGGCCGTAATTATCAGTTAATCAGTTTAATTACCCATAATTAGTCTTTTCTAATTATCCTACCATTTTGGTCTGTAGATACATCATCAACATCCACGTCACAAAAGGCTTGTATTGTCAATTTATAACAAGCCAAAGCAAGACACACTCCAGATTTCCAGATGACTGTTGGCAAACAATCAGTCGTTAAATCATTAACCTGATTAATGTGTACAGCTTGTTATGATTACACAAAGATAAAAATCAACTGATGACGCACAAGTGATTTTAATGCAGTAGTTGTAACTGAGCATATACATAAGTTATATAGGTTTAAAAGACAAAATAAGTGAAAAAAAAAAAAAAACTAACTCTGAGGGAACTTTTTCCAGCTTAAAATTATAACTGCTCCTGCCTCCTACAGAGTAAACCGTATGCAATATTTAGCAGTTGTTGTGAAGGAGAAAGACACCTCTCTCTAATGATCTAATTCATTATTCACAGTGTGAGTTACAGATGGCGAGGGTGAGAGATTGCATCTATGTGCTAATGACGGCCTGTCAACGTGATACTGCCTCTCTATACAGCTTCTTTAGGATGGGAATAAGAGACTACAGATGTTAATGTATGCCTTTAGAAAAAAGAAAAAAAACAGACACTACATAACAAGAATGGCCTGCGATTCATCCTGTATTCTAGTGTTGACATGTTAGTACATCAAATATACTTCACTGCATGTTTGATATTCCATTAAAAATGAGTTTCGATTTTTTTTATATTTACTGATGTCATGTAACGGGCTGAGTCACTTGTGTCTGGGGTCAGCAACCATGAAGGTACGAAATTGAAATCAACATATAAAGGAAAACTTTCAAACCAAGCAGCATTCTGTTGGTCAATGCTGATTCCAATATGAACCAGCAGTGAAATCTGCATTGGGAAATCTTTTGTGCCCCCAAAAAATGTCCAAATAAAGTGGATTCCATTTAAAATAATGGTTTTCTATTTCAATATAATAGAATAATAAAACATTGATAGTAAATCTGTATATTAAAATGATTTTTGAAGGATCACGTGACACTGAAGACAGGAGTAACGGCTGACGAAAATTCTGCTTTGCATCACAGAAATAAATGATCTTTTAAATGATATTCAAATAGAAAAAACTTTATATTCCTCAAATAGAATAACCTGTTTTTAAAACCTCAAATATAATAACCTGTTTATTCTGTATTTTTGATTAAATAAAAGCATAAGAGACTTATTTTAAAAAACATTAAACATAGTAATGCATCCAAAATTTTGACTGGTACTGTGTGTATATATATATATATGAAGAGTTCAGATGCAAAAGCCTCTAAATGCCATTTGAAATTTTCTTCTTTAATGATGATTTTTTTTCAAACTTGTAGATTTAAGTTCAGTGATTTCAATTACTGAACTTAAACAAAACAGCCTAAATTACATGCAACATTTTCAGTCTCATTCTGTACCACAAGCACTTTCAGTCCAGATGATCTTCAGATTTCCTTCTAGCTGCTCCTTGGTAAGATGCTCCTCATGTCCGAGAGCACCATGGATCTGTAGTTGCGCTCCAGCCCCTCCATGTACTCCAGGTAATTACTCATCCTGAAGCTGTGGATTGGTTCCTCCTGCAAGCATAAAAGCAGCACATATTTGACGAGCAGCGCTTGAGAGAGCCGGTTTGCAGAAAAAAGTTAAAACAGGCTTAAAACAGCTTCAGAATGGATTACGCTCAATCCGAGGAGATTTTGATATTACAGTCTGAGCAGATCCTGATTATGTGTGACACTACTCTGACTATTGTATTCTGCTGCATGAAAGCATGCAAACTTTTTCACATAATAAATATTGTGACAAATCTCACTGCCAACAGTAACAAAAGGTCTTTATTAATGAAACAAGAGGTCACATACTGGCACTATGTGAGGAATGGCTACACGTCCGTGTACTAAATAAACAATGCACCGCCTAATACACTCTGACATTTAGCTTGGGATAAATAATATCATTTAGACAAAGCCAAATTAATTACATTTATTTTACGATGAGTCAGCGGATGCAAGACCAAAAGCTATGCCTGAAGTTACAAAAGGACACTTCAGTTCATGGTGAAGAGATGACAATGAGAGAAGGGATAATAAACCTTTATGAGTTTGCTGCATTAAATAAAACATGCCTGCAGTGTAAGCAGTTTTGTGATATAACTGCAGATGGCTTGGCAATGACAACAGTCGGTTTGGCAATGACAAACAAAATAGATAATTTTTTTTTTTTTTGCTTAAAAAAAAGACTGAAATAGTCCATTATAAAACAAACTATAACCAATTTTAGCTGATTATACATACGGAGTGTCTTTCAATAAAACCGAATAGAGTCAGATTATAACTGAATATGCGAATAGGTTCAGATAATAACTGACAATATGTGAAAAAGTAAACTAAGAGGAATAGATAAAGATTATGAAATTGCATACGCTGCTCTGATGGAAAAATGTAGGATTTCTCCATCACTATTGTTTTTTTTTTTAAGATGAGACCTCATTCAACTACAGTCTTTGGTGAACTTAAAGGAATAGTTCCACCATATTAAAAAAAACACCATAAACATTCACATTACTCTGATTCCATGGTTAAACTTGGCATGTCACAATCAATCACACAAGTCAGAACCAGTAGTATCACTGAATTCAAACATGGTGTGATGAATTTGGAATATTAAAATATTTTTGAGCTCGGAGATCCTTTAAAAAAGACCATATTTGTAATGTATAGAAGAAATAAGTGATATAGGTTTGAAACAACATAAGGTTGAGTAAATAACAATGAATCAACAGAATTTAAATTTTTCCTGTTTTATTGTGTGGAAGGTTATTTCAATTTCTTCACACCACTGATAATAGCTGTGGAGTGGCAAAAATAACTATAACATAAAATCACAGAGCAATGAGAAGGGACTATTGTGAAAAGTCCAGATGTTTCCCTAAAGCTGAAGAAAGTCTCCTGCCTACAAAGCCATTCAAAACCAGAAAAACGGATGCACGCTGGTGTGTTCAAAATGAAACAATAAAAATTACATTTTAATTACAAGCACCCATTATCTAAAGACATTAAAACTATCCCACCATCTATTGTTGCAGATAAAAATGAAGGGGAAAAAAAGCCTAAAACAGTTTTGCAGGATGATTTGAACTCACTAGCTAGACTGTGTCATGGTTTTCAAAGTGTTGGAACGATTCGATAACGACAGACAATTGCTTTTGAAATCCTGGAAACAAAGAATGACTTTGCTCGAGTTTGATTTCCCCTCTGTTGAATCATCCAAAATGGACTCATTGTACGTTTAATCTGGCTTCAGAGTGACATCAGGAGGGACTGTTACGAGTAATTTCCATTCCCGATCTTTAATTTAGATGAAATACAGATAAGTTTTGCAATCTTGGATATGTACAAATCCTCAGAAACCATTCAGGAATTCGCTGAAATGGTCTCTCTATTGTACAGGGTACACTGTGAACACTAAAAAGTTATGAACATTTAAGGGTGAACCAAGGACAAGGGTCTGTCTGATTTACTCCAGCCACGCTTGCACACTCCATGGTCCATTAAATCAACACCACCTCAGTGTGTTCTTCCTTTAAAGGACTAGTTCAGCCAAAAATGTTAATTCTGTCATTATTCCAGAACTTCTTTCCTCCGAGGAACACTTTAATAGTGTTTATGTGGTGCTGTTTGGTCCTTTTTGGAGAAAGGTCCATTCACTTTCGTTGTTCGGAAAAGAGCGTGAAAATTCAGCTAAACGTCTTTGACGAAAGGAAAAAAAACTCATACATTGGAATGGCATGAAAAGTGAGTAAATGAAAGCATAATTTTTATTTACAAAAGTAAGTTAGACTGTACCTTCAGAAAGACCTGCAGGTCCTGCGTCTGTGTGTGCTGCAGAATCTCTTGCTGCAGGTGACGGAGGGCAGAAACACACATGTACACCTGGTAATCTGGTCCCATGATGACACAGGTGACCACATAGTGACAGATCTCAGGCCAATCTAGATAGTTCCAGAAACACTGGCCAAGCCACTGAATACAGATCTACATGGTGGTTGGAGGGAGGAACAGAGAGCGAGGGAAAGAGAGATAGAGAGAGAGAGAGTGCAACGTTTGCACGTTATAAATTAATCAATATGAAATGGTTGAAAAATAAATGAGAGATCAAAAACTTCTGAGTATCAAATTTTAACATGATGCCCTCAAGACTAAAGTCTGATGCAGTCAACTGTACATTACCCATTAAAATCATAATTAATTAACTATGAATCAAATCATCACACAAAATAGAAATTGTCATTTTCCATTAACGAAACATCAAAATTTATTTGAGAATCAAAACAACAAGAAATTAAAACTTGTTTTGAGAATACGTTATGTTCAAGAGTTTAGGGTAAGTAAAATATTTAATACAATAAAGACACTTATAATGAATAATGATTTCTATTTTAAATAAATGCTGAATAAATTTTAAATAAATTTCTAAAAAACAATAAATGTTTTTTTCTATTTACCAAAGAATGATTAACATTTCCAATGCTAAAGAATTTTTACAAAAATACTAAATTGAATTTTAACAATTTTTAATAATATTTCACAATATAGTTTTACTGTATTTTTGATCATATAAATGCAGCCTTGAGAAATCTTACCGACCCTACACTTCTGAACACTACGCAAGTTTATTTTTTTATTTTAATCTTGTTTAAGTCTAAATATAACAACAGTTTGGTATGTTAACTGGGATACTTTTTTTATCAAAAGAACATGATTTTTAATTTTATTTGCAGTGTATGAATAACACTAAAAGAATGTTCCTACAGAAATAAATCAAGTCTCTTGAATCATATGCAGAGAAAGCTTGACGTATTTCTGTTTTGTTTCTGTGGTGGTTAACTGCGTTCAGGTCATATATTCCTCCTCAGAAGCTGTTCAATTATTCCACAGTATCATAGAAAGGCATTCCAGTCTTGCCAAGCGTGTATGCATACATTCAGACCACTCCAGCAGGCAATTTATACAGCATCTGTGTCTCTCTTTCAGACATTCTTCCTGCTTTGTCTAGAATTCAAAACACTCTCTCCGAGTGCTCAGACACGGATGCCCTCTATGATGGAGGTGACACTCAATTTAAAACAGGAAGTCTTCTTTCCTTCAGTTTCTGCCACTTCAAAACTAGTTACTAGTTTCACAACTTTGGGTATTATTTTATTTTTTGTATTACTCAAAAAAAAAAAAAAAAAAAGCATAACATCCAACACACTGATGACCATCAATCATTAACTGCAGCATCAATACTTCTATGTGGTATAAATACCATTCCTGTCACAGAATCTGTATGAACTGAATATATACACTCACCTAAAGGATTATTAGGTACACCTGTTCAATTTCTCATTAATTCAATTATCTAATCAACCATTGACATGGAAGTTTCAATGCATTTAGGGGTGTGTTCCTGGTCAAGACAATCTCCTGAACTCCAAACTGAATGTCAGAATGGGAAAGAAAGGCGATTTAAGCAATTTTGAGTGTGGCATGGTTGTTGGTGCCAAACGGGCTGCTCTGAGTATTTCACAATCTGCTCAGTTACTGGGATTTTCACGCACAACCATTTCTAGGGTTTACAAAAAAAATGAAATGGGAAAAACATCCAGTATGGGCAGTCCTGTGGCCGACAATGCCTTGTTGATGCTAGAGGTCAGAGGAGATTGGGCTGACTGATTCAAGCTGATAGAAGAGCAACTTTGACTGAAATAACCACTCGTTACAACCGAGGTATGCAGAAAAGCATTTGTGAAGCCACAACACGCACAACCTTGAGGCGGATGGGCTACAACAGCAGAAGACCCCACCGGGTACCACTCATCTCCACTACAAATAGGAAAAATAGGCTACAATTTGCAAGAGCTCACCAGAATTGGACAGTTGAAGACTGGAAATATTTTGCCTTGTCTGATGAGTCTCGATTTCTGTTGAGTCAGAAGAGTCAGAATTTGGCGTAAACAGAATGAGATCATGGATCCATCATGCCTTGTTCCCACTGTGCAGGCTGGTGGTGGTGGTGTAATGGTGTGGGGGATGTTTTCTTGGCACATTTTAGACCCCTTAGTGCCAATTGGGCATTGTTTAAATGCCACGGCATACCTGAGTATTGTTTCTGACCATGTCCATCCCTTTATTGCCACCATGTACCCATCCTCTGATGGCTACTTCCAGCAGGATAATGCACCATGTGACAAACCTCGAATCATTTCAAATTGGTTTCTTGAACATGACGATGAGTTCACTGTACTAAAATGGCCCCCACAGTCACCAGAACTCAACCCAATAGAGCATCTTTGGGATGTGGTGGAATGGGAGCTTCTTGCCCTGGACAATACAATGCTAAATAAAGTTGTATTTTTTGTTATTTTTGGACTAAAATGTATTTTCGATGCTTCAAAAAAATTCTAACTAACCCACTGGTGTCACTTGGACTACTTTGATGATATTATTATTTCCTTTCTGTACAAGGAGAGTATATCGTGTATACATTTTCAATGGAGGGACAGAAAACTCTCTGACTAAATCTAAAATATCTTAAACAGGCTTGGAACGACATTCAGTGAGTCATTAATGACATAATTTTCATTTTTTGGGTGAACTATTCCTTTACCATCCGTACTTAGTACTATACTAAAAATCTGAACACCTTGCTTCTAACTCAATGACTCAACAACGTACCAGAAGATGGCAATTACAGCAATTGTCCTGTTTAGTGTAACAGTTTGATTTGTAAAGTAAAACCAATAAGGTGAACAATATTTTACTGATGCCCTGGAATACTGGAATACCCTGGCTTTCCCTTCACATCACACTAAAGTACAAAAAAAAAAAAAAAAAAAACTTCTCATTTTCCTGTGTCCTTAAAAAAGATGTTAAGCTTATTGCTCATATTTTTAGATGGGTGTATGTGCATGTGAGTGTGCATTTTAATAATTTAAAAATGCTATTTTTCCAAAACAGCTTTGAGCTTTCAGAAAATATAGCTACCAAAAAACATCTAACATTCTAATAACAATAGAAAATTTCTGGACACAGAGAAAAAAAAAACATTTTTAGTCAGGTTATAGGAATTAAGAAAGATCCAGTCCTATTGAGAGTGTGCAAATTCTAAAGACTTTAAAAATAAACTAAATGCAGAAAACACAGTTACTCTTTAATTTTTTTGTCCTTGACTGCAAGAAAAGGACATATCTGACTTCATCTGACAAAAGACTTGAGGCAGAGCTTTGAGATCATGCATATAAACCCCAGAGAAAGTGTAGTGCTGAATAATCATTGCGTTTGTATATGAAGATTGTCAGTCATCCAGGTCATAACAGAAAGTCCTTGTATCTTTACAATTTTTGCCAGGCAAAGTCACACAAATTCACCCAGTTATCACAATTTACATCATAAGTGATGTGACTCCCACAGAGATTTGTGCCAAAGTAACATGTGATGAGCTTAAATACAGGACATCCACACCATCTTATTATTATTATTATTATTATTATTGTGCCCCATAAGTAAATTCAGATACTGGTCAGTGCCATATTTGGCTTTTCTGACTATATGCTTTTGTTGTATGAAAAGGTTTTTACAAAATTATGTTCCATAGACAAAATAAAAATTATTATAATTGATGTTTAATAATATTTTAGTATTATAATGAATGAAATATTTTATATTGTAATAAATTATAAAAACTAAAACCAAGAAGAATAAGAATAAGAAATGTATTACTGTATAATATAAATGTAGTTTATTAACAATAAAATAACAATACTAATACTATTTTCAAACAACACAGAACTTTAATTTTGGTGGAAAACCACAGAGGAGACCGTATTGCTTCTTTGTTGTTGACAACAGATTTATAATCAATCCAAATTAAAAATTTGGGAAGATGGTTGCTTCTCCGAAACACTGAAAATACCAGAAGGCATGTCTGTGATGCAAAATTCATCAAGGTTGGCAAGTCTCTTTACTAACAGTGGAGATTTATTAAAAATGTAAAACAACAATTTCTAATAAAATACTTAAAATACAACACCTGAGAGGGAGTGAAGCCAGACATCCTGAAGGCAGAATAAACCAGAGGAACCTCAGCCTTGAGCAACATCTCAACGTAATGAGCGGTGCAGGAGTAGATCGGATGTATTCCTGATTGAGCAATTTCTATAGGGAGATGCACCTAAAACATAGGGAAAATGTGAAGAAACTGTGAAGATGATGCTAAGCTGCATTGGTTTTTGAGTGTCGTAACTGATCATGAAGTGCAAATGAGATTTGTGAACTCTGTAAATAATTACTTGTTCTCCGCACAAAGCTATCATTGATTTCTGAAGACATATATAACACAGTGTCACTTTTATGATGCTATTTTTGAAGTAAAAAAAATAAAAAAATATCCCCTTTCATTTTATTAGAAAACTGAAACATTATGTTATGCAAAATATTCCCTTTTGTGCTTTTCAGCTTAAAAAAAAAAAAAAAAAAAAAATATATATATATATATATATATATTAATTTGGAACGACATGAAGATGAGTAAAGTAAAGTAAAAAAGAAAAAAAGAACTCTTTCTCCAAGGGTACTGACCACGACAGAAAAAAAAAAAAAAATCATTAGCCTGTCTTCCTGTTTTGAGGCATCTGTGACGAATGTGACGACTGAATCTTCTCTTTTTCTGATTCTCATCATTGTCTCTGAATGATTTACATGCACAGCCAGTCGGCCACTCTGACAGCACAGAAATATGGAATTGTAATCAGACGAACTCATGTGTATGGAGCATTATCATATCCCGCACATATTTTTACAGCTGAAACTCTATTAACTGAGCTCTGTTTACTATCCGCTGTTCCAGGAAAGAGAGCGAGATTGCTCCATCCACATTTTATGGGCACCACAGTAATGACTATGCCCCAGTAATATCATGATATCCAGCATTTCCTCCCAGTATTAACTTTTCCTATGCAAATGGAGATTAGAATGATAATGCAGGTCAAAATGCTCAGATTTGTTTATAGCACATGAATATGGGAGCTACACAAGAATATGACTATAAATTCAGAACATTACTAAACATGAGAGGGATGCAGATGTTATTAGTTTACAAAATAGCACCATGGGCTGTTTGAGACATTTAAAGGAATAGTTTCACCCAAAATTAAACTTTTACCCTACTGTTCAAAAATTTGGGGTTTGTAAGTTAAAAAAAAAGTCTCCTATGCTTAATTTATTTGATCAAAAATACAGTAAACACTGTAATTTAATGAATTATTATTTCAATTTAAAATAACTGTTTTCTATTTTAATATATTTATTATTATTCTATTCTATATATATCTATTTAATATTATTTATTCCTGTGAGGGAAAAGCTGAATTTTCAACATTATTACTCCAGTCTACAGTGTCACATTATTTTTTTTTAATGATTTTTGTGGAAACCAAGACATTTTTCAGGTTTCTTTGATGAATAAAAAGTTCATAAGAACAGCATTTATTTAAAATAGAAAACTTTCGTAACAATGTAAAAGTGTTTACTTTCATTTTTTAATCAACTGAATATCCTTGCTGAATTGATTGAAAAGTATTGATTGAAAATTTTAATTTTGGGGGGAGAACTAGTCCTTTAATGCGTTGAGTGTGTATTTTGTTGCTCCAGTCATGATAATAGAGTAGCTACTCAAGCAGCACATACTGAAGGTTGACATGAATGAAAAAAAAAAAGAGAAACAATAAAAAAGCCCATATTAGTGATGAGCTGTAACTCACAGAGCTGTGCAGTCTCGGGGGCCACAGGAACGCAGACGGCAACAGACGGGAGAAACGCAAGAGCAGACTCAGAGAACGGCCCACATCGCCATGCATGAGCAAAAAAACTGTGGAGGCAAACCAGTCGTGACCAGGATAACCCCCCTGAAAATAGGCTGACAACTGGGTCAAGGAATCTTCAATACATTCGAGCCTACATGTTGCTAACGACTATATCTAGATAACAGGACCTGATGGCTAAAAAGTGATATACAGTAGTAGCCCCAAAAACTATTTGAACACATAAGTAACACTTGTTGAAGAAATGCAAGAATTTCACATCATTAGATACAAACTTAGAGATCTAAAAACAAAAGATATTAGAGCTCTTAGAAGTTTTGAGCTTTTTTGCAATGACTTATAACCAACAGATTTTTAGTAAGTGAAGTTCACAGGCAGCCAAGCAGAGGGCGAACATGTTGCATTAATGCTTGATAACCAGAAAGTGTCAAAATGCTCTTTTTTTTTTTTTTCAATAAACACTAGCATTCAAAAGTCTGGGTTCAGTATGACTTTTTAAAAGAAATTAATACTTTTATTCACCAAAGATGCATTCATTTGATCAAAAGTGACAATAAATATTTATATTTCCAATAAAATATGTTATTGTAACTTTATATTCACCAAAGAATCCTGAAAAAATATATAAGTTTCTACAAAAAAATTAAGCAGCACAACTGTTTTGAAAATTGATAATAATAAAAAATATTTATTGAGCAGCAAATCAGCATATTAGAATGATTTCCGAAGGATCATGTGACAATGAAGACTGGAATAATGGCTGCAAAAAAAAAAAAAAAAAAAAAAAAAAAAAAAAAAAATCAGCTGTGCCATCACAGGTATAAGTAATATTATAATTATATTGTAATAATATTTACTTTTTTTTCATAAGATAAATGCAGTTTTGGTGAACATAAGAGAACGGTATTGGTTATGAAGGTCATGTATGTATTGTTTCATTATTTTAAACCTACAAAAACTCTTCAAAAGTGTACTTTAGCTATATTTCTTTCAAATAAAGTTCATTTAGTTTGATATTTTATTATATAATGCATTTACATTCATTATGTCTAAAGTATGGCTTGTGTATTCAATATTTTGGGGCTAAATTCGCTAAAAAAATGAAGATGTGTCCTCTCAATGGGCATTGGTATAGATGCATACTAAATACATACTAAATTAATCTGATGCTAAACTATATAACATATATTTTCTACAGAAAATTACAATATTGTGCAAAAAAAAATGTACTGTAAATATCAGAATTCTTGCACCAAGTTGCATCAGTTGATTGATATCAGGAATAATCTTTAATGAGAAGGATACAGAGCTCAGAGGTGACCTTGACTCGTTGCTGAGACAGAAACTCCTGACAGTGCTTTAGCAAAAGACACAGATCCTGTTCTGAATCTTCTCTCAATAGCTTCAGGAACTTTCCATACCTACATACACAAACACACACTGTTTTACATGGCAGCTTCATTAAGTACCCCATTCAAGGCCTTGCTAAACAAAGTTGAAAAGACATTGTTAAAAATGTTCTTCCCAAAACACCAACTTGTGCACATTTACATAATTAGAACTTTCTCAAGGCAATATTTTCTTAACTAATAAGAACAAAACTCACTACTGAATTAAATTCGGTTTTATCATGCATGTACAGTCTCTCCCTGGGAAACACAGCCCCAAATGAAGGTTAACAGAGAGTTACAATTATCCCAATGTGTTGAGCTCTAGAATGCATTGGCTGATTACAATCAATGTGGACTGCCTTAAGTCAAAATATTTAGATGGGTTCATATACTTACATAGTGTGCTGACATATCGCAGAAAGATTGAATCTGAATAAAAATACTGCAACAATTTCTTAATCAGTATTTTTGCAGTCCTGGTTAATCAGTCCAACTATCTAAACATTTTTATAGGGGTCAAATTTGCCTTTATCTTTTGACATATAAGAGGTCTGTGTACCATTAAAATATCCTGCATGTTTCATAGCATAAAACATCCTCTTCATTATAAACGATGCATTTATTAAATCAAGCTCCAAAAAAGATGCATATTGATATTGCGAGAACTGTGACATCACACAGGCAAATATATTTGCATATGGACCGCCTCCATTCTACAAATCATTTGACTGAACGATTGAATGACTCCCTCATTAAAACAATGTTTTGCTGCCACCTACTGCCAAGTTTGAGTAAAAAAACATGTTTTTCATTGTTTCATTTATCTCTCACCTGCGGCTGATAAAATCATACCTGCGGTCCACCATGCTACAAAAATAACTATCCTCACTTGCCCAGATGTCAAAGTTTAAATGTCAAAATCAGAGTAGCCTAAGTGTAAAACTTTTTGCTTGATGCAGCTTATTGATATTCATATTGTATTAAATCACTTATCTAATCCCTGTTCTCTAATTTTTATTTCTTTGCTTTCATTACGCTGTCCAAGGTGCTTGATGAGGGTGACAAAGATTTTTTTGTTTTTTTTTTTGGTCATGACTGCATGCGTGGATAGAATGTATTTATACATAGACTATTAAGATAAAAAAAAAACAGTTAACAGAAGTAATTGCAGTAGCAAAATATTTATTATTAACATTATAAGTGAATCGCAAGGAACTTTAAAATAATGGGGGAAAAATCCATGTCATGCCCTTCAAAACAGAATACATTTAGATGAGAAGAAAAGCTCTAAACAGCACCAGGAAGTTGCACTTTAATTATAAATGCTTAATCATTAATACTTCAATTATTGTGTTTTACTTTAATACTATTATTAATAATAAAATTTCTAAGTAAATTTTGTTTTAAGGATGTTTAAGGAATTGTTTTTGAAGTACATTTGTGTATTAAATCATTTCAAAGTTGGTTTATTTTCTCATAAAGCATTAGCCTAGTCAAGGCATATTATTATTACCTGAGGGATATCCCCACACCTAACTGCTCCACAGAAGACAGGCTTCGAGTCTTTACACTGTGGTCCACCACTGAAACAAAAAAAAAAGAGAAATTACCTCTCATTTACACCCCCACTTCAAATACCCATTTAATTTTGGTAAATGGAGCAGAGAGTAGCAAAAGAGCACTGAAATATGTGCTGTTAAATAATACATTTTCATCTCAGCATCGGCTTACCCACAAATCAGCATCAGCCGTGTAATCTACATTCATCATGCTTAAGAATCGCCTTAATTGAGTGAATGCCCTTGGTGAGACGGAAATGGGCCCACTGATATAATTATGGGACCATTCCTCCATCCTCATTAATATAACAACAATGTCCGGATTGTAATGATGACATAATGCAGATAGATGTGCACCTTGTGAAGTGACTCGTCTTGTCTTGACTGGCTGGCAAACAAACCAATAGGAGAGAAGGGCTAAGACTGAATGACAAATCATACTTCCCTCAGCGATTATGACATGAACAGCTAAGTGAGATGAAGCAAGACAACTCGCTCCAACTGCTCTGCTAAATGAGAGGTGAGGATACAGAGGACACAAATGCTAATGTAACATAACTCCATAATCCTTTCAATGTCAGGCATCTGCATGTACCCATATATCACATTTGGGAAGTTTGGGCGTTTGCAACTGGTTCAGGCATATAAATTCACATCTGAATGAACTCACTCACCAATTAATTTATCACTCAAAAGTTTGCCCAGAAGCTGCATTTTGTGTCTTCTTGTTGAAGCAAAATCATATTTACTTAAATACAACTGTTCATCAGTATGTATTCAAATTGTTGTGGCAAATGTTGCTTCCAAAATATCATACACGTTTTATTCCTAGACAAATTCTCTTCCTTAGATTTACTTAGAGTTCAACTGGATCATAAAGAACTGTTTCAAAAGAATGATTGGTTTCCAAATCACAATCATGATCAAGTAAATTCACACACTGTGCGATTCAAAATGTAAAAACAAACAATACATTATAACAAATGAGCAATATAACATAACATAACATAAGATAATGTAATAAAATATAATATACAAGTTTCTAAAAAAATAAATAAAAATAAATAAAAAACCAGTGTTAACAATGCTAGAAGCATTTTCACTTGTAGTCTCAGACTTTGGACTTCAAACATAAATGAAAAGAGATGCTTGTCATTAAATTAAAAGTTCATGAGCTTCTCAGAACCCAAACCACTAATTATCTCCACAGTTAACTGACCCCTGACACTTACTATACTCAAACAAAGGTAGCAAAAAGTCTTTCAAAGTATGAAAACTTCAGTTCTCTGAGATTAAAAAGAAAAATGTATGTTTGGAGAGAGAAGACGTTTTGCAAGATGTTTAATTGATGTCATGGAGTCAAATACAAAGCAATAATTATAATTATCATGGCTTGTTATAATTCTTAAAACAATAATGGGTTTTAGAGGGATGTGAATTTGGAAAAATCTTTCTTTGAAGTCGTCACGTTAATCAAGCTCAAGCCTGCAGGTATTACTTGCAGCTTGGGATTTAAACAAAAGAGGATGTCCAATATTATTTATAAGAACCTTCATGTGTAATAAATTATAGAGATGATAATAAATGATAAAACTATTTTCATCTATTCACCTGTTTTCTAAATAATTCAATTTGCATGAATAAAAACCTGAAAAATATCTTCCAGAAGGATTTTTACAATAAACTTACCATGGCGATCATGCATGTGCTAACCATGGGATGCCAGACGTTTCCAGCAGAAAGCAATTTGTCTTTTAAATACTGCTGTGCAACGTGACACTGTCACATCATCATAAAATATTTGTTGCTAAAATGGTTAATTCACCCAAAAATGAGAATTCTGTCATTTATTAATTCACACTCATGTTGCTTGATGAGCGAGGACCAATGAGGTTCCTTCTTGTGTGTTACACAGCACATTTGAGTTTATGCAAGAACCAATGTTCGCTGATCAATGTTTATGTGTGAATAAAAGCCTAAATTCAATTTGTTCATCATATAAAGCAACCGAGTCAACTTTAGACAATTTGTACTAAATTCATATGCTCGATTCATATGGATTAATATTATGATCTCTTTATGAACTTTTTGAAGGGATAAAGTGTAGTTGCGTGGACTGTCAATGAAGAGACAGAAATCTCTTAGATTAAATTTAATAATATCTTCCTTTGTGTTCAAAGATGAAAGAAAGTCTTACGGGTTTGGAACGACATGGGGGTGAGTAATTAATTTAATTGATTTTTTTTTTTTTTTTTTTCATTTTTGGGTGAACTAACCCTTTAATGTACAGTACAGGTATATTCACATAAATACTTGCGCTTCTCTTATTCAATATATTCCGTCAGAAGTGAAGGGTATCTCCGTTAGCTGGCTGCAAGAATATAAAAAAATATATTATTTTATTAAACATTGAAGTGCTTTTGACTGACCTTTATATTCAGCCGGTGGAAAGAAGCAGTCGGTAGATGAAGAAGAGAGATGCAGCACGACCTTCTCTAACAGATCAGCAAGTACTACGAGAGCAGCAAACAGACAAGAGGAAAACTAACCGTCAAGGCAATTCCCTTTGAATCAAACCTCAAATCTCATGGAATATAGCCTCTGTCATATAAAGAGTGGATGCTATAGAAATCAAAGAATATCTTCAGCTTCAATATAATATTGAAATATTCTACTCTTAATCCAGAAATAAACAGCATGGTTTAAGAGGGTTTTACAGCCTTATCATTAATGTATTAGTACATTTAATGTAAGAAATCAATTGTCTTTCTTGCGGAGATCAGACCGTAAAATTAAAGAAAAAGACATACTATACTGTAACAGACATTAAGGCGTGTTGTAAATAAATCCCAATAACTTCAATTGCACAATTGTAAACAATCATTTCTGCACATCAGAAACTGGTCTTGCAGAATTAGAGCTTGAATACATTCCTTTATAAGCTTTCTCTTCCAAAATAAATAATGCAAAAGAGATTTGTTTAGAATTTAAAAGGGTCACTTCATACATTTTTTATCTTTTTATTAGTTTTCCATTATTTTATTTGTACATCCAAGTTCACAGTATTTTTCCCTCTGGTTCACTTTTAATTTGCCAAAACAGTCAAATTTAGTTTTCTATTTTGAAAGGATTTTCCACTATTTATCTGACCCTTCAAATTAAACAGGCTGCTGTTGTGCCTTTAGGACCTCTATGTAAATGACTTCTTTGCATGTGAAATGAGTAACAACACTGACTCACGAGCTGAAGCTTTGCTGTCGAGCCTAATATTGTTTGTGCTGTCCCAGCCTTCAATAACAGCCTCTTTGCAAAGCCTGCATTACACTGTGATAGGATCACAAAACAATCTGCACTGAAATGTGATGTGAAAAAGGATTGGACTGTGCTAGGATAGAATTGCCACTGAAAATGGGATATTGTTAGTTCTTCTGATGTTTAGAAGCTTGTTATGCTTGGTATTTACCCTCTTAGTATTTATCCTACATCATCAGGTGACTGGGCAGACATGTTGTTTGCCCAGCAATTTCATTTCTCATTAATGACACCTGTAAAAAGATTAGAGATTCTGTGCAGACAGAGCTGAATGTGGCTCATACCGTATCCAGTCAGAGTGTTTGACTTTGTAGACATGATCTTGCAGAACTGTCTCCGGCAGTCATCCATCCAGCTAGCATCTCTCTCATTTTCTTTAGATGAAGCCAAGAAAGCACCGATCTCTGACTCTGAGAAGAAATATGCAGTGTTCAAAGTCGACACAAACTTTGTGACTCTGACTTGTAACTACCAAGTATAACTACTTACAAATTATAGATTATAAATCTTAACTATTTGGGCTTCAAAAGGACTATATACTGACTCAAGTCTAGTAAACATCTATAGAAACATCACTGAGACGTTGAATAGGCCTTTACACACATACTGACGCATGTTCCTAAAGGAAGAGTGTTTACTAGGCGTTAAGAACCTCTAGTCTCTATTTACTGAGCTGGAAACAGCTGTCACATTGAAATAAAGATGTATCGCCGTGACAGTAAAGAAGAGAAATGAGTCTGTCATAAAGAGAGAAAGTGTCCTTGAAGTTACTGGTACAAAGCAGAACCCTGTAAAAAACTGAATCAAACTGTAACCGTAAAATAAGAGGATTCCTTTCATAAATTATGGAAATAACACATAAAATGCCTAGTGCTTTAAAAGATCGTTCTTACCCTGTTTGGTGCGGAGAGTCTTGGGCACGTCAAGGGTGTAAAACTTGGGCAGTGGGTAGGTAAACACCATTGGCCATGGGTAAGGGTCACTTCCCTAAGGGACAGATGGAACACATAATTGTGGTGTCATGAAGAATGTCGGAAACCAAACAGTTGATGGCTTCCATAATAGGATTTTTTTTTTTCCTATGCTCAAATAATAAATATTTATTGCAGTTTCTAATCAAGAGTCTGATTTCATTATAAAACAAATGAAAAACAAAAGAATAACACATAAGGGCTTTGTTTGTCAAACACAACAGGCTGTAGGTTTTTTCTTTTAGATCCAGTCGTGATAATTACTTAAAAGATGCGTTGAGTCATCGACCAGAGCCACTTACTATATGTCACATTCAGTCATCACTCAAACTGTCACATATGCATCTATTTTTGTATCCAGACTTCGCAAATCCTCTTTACATTACAACAAAGGATCCGCAAAGCTCTATTTAGAAGAACGACATTTGTCAGTACATTCTTAATAAACAACTGACAAAGCAGCAATAAACCCCTCCATGGAGATAATGTTGATATATCAATGCTGATTTCTGTTTTTTGGTTTTTTTCTGCATTCAATAACAGATTAAATCTCACTATCCCTTTTCCAAACTAAATAACCAGGATGAAACAGCTTTTTATTTACAGTGTAAATAAATAATTCGTCTTCCAACCAAATGGCAAACTGTGACCCTTTGCTTCAGTGGTTCTGTATCTACAATGTGATAAAGTGTACACAACTGTACCCTCACCTTCTCCAGGCCTCTGCGAGGAAGTCTCCTCTCTGACGGCCCACCAACTGAACAGATTCGAACAAGGATATGGTTTCTTTCCACAGACAGTCCATCGATGATGAATTCCCTGAGGGTGAAGACGACAGTATAAACAGACAATATAAAGAATTAGTGCATAGTGTTTCCACAGTATGCTCATATTGTACATACAGGATATCTAAGGTAAATGATAAAACAGATTTGTAAAGTGACTGTTGGTTGACCCTGAATTATAGAGTCACTCACCCTTCACCTGATGGCGGCTCTGTGACATTGTCCTTCTGACCCTGGAGCAGTAACTCGGTGAGGTTATACTGAGACTCCAGCAGAAGAAAAGAATCCAGGTTACAACACAGCACGCTCAAGAGCCTGGAAGAGCACAGATGGGATAAAAAGGAAAACAAAGAACAAGCAAGTTGCAACATTACTTTAATTGTATATAGCTGAGAAATGGATAGATGGATGGTGCATTCAGTATCGGTGCATACTTCCATACAATACAATTTTGACTTGTTTTCTTTGACTTAATTAATAATCATAAGCCATTTTATTATGTTGAAATACTCTCTTATCTCAGCTTAAAAATGCAGAAACAGCAAGGCATTTGTAGGTAGATGTCAAATAATTCATGTCAATTGTTTTCCTTATTTTCAACTTATAACTCATCAGTAGACTAATGTCTAAAGCTCACTTGAATTTGTTCTCGACCATTAGACATGACGTTAAAGATATTATAGTGCCTTAGAAATCTATCTGAAATCAGTTAACTTAAGATGTTCCTTCATTCAAAAACGCTGGCTGGGAAGTCAGCAGCCTTAGCCTTTGGACGCAGCCTGTTCTCTGCTAATGCGACTGTGATCACAAGGTCGAGTGGGCTATCCAAAGAATAATAACTGCCAGATGTTTGGATACAGATAATCCTAACAGCACTCAGCTCTTGAAAGTTTGTACATTTTATAAAATATAATATGTAATTATTAAATGATAGGAAGGTTGCAAACAAAACCCAGATTTTTATTTTGCCTAAGAAAATTAAACACATTTACAGATCTGGGGCCGCATTCACAAAGAATTTTATCTTAACACTAGGAGTAATCGCACTAAAATACTTTAGCTAGGAGTTTTCTCTTAAAAGTTATTCACAGACCTACTCTTAGTAAGGAAAAATGACAACTCCTAAACTAAGAGCGAGTCTTCATTGCTATGGATGACGTCAATTCTCATGCACGAGCTTCCTCGCAATGATCACGGCGATTGGTTTGTTAGATGACAGGGCCATCATGCGGAACATAACACAGACGCAACAAATCATGGAATTACGACATCTAAATATGTCTGTGTCCTATATAAATAATAATAGTAATGACATCGAAATGCATATATAATGACATGTTTGTGCAGGCCCCAGTGAAGTGTAATTCTAAAAAGGCAGAGAGAGAGAAAAGTCGTGAATTAAATTAAATAAAATCAAGGTAGCCTACCCCAATGAAAACCGTCTTGCCTAATAATGAAAAACGACACTTGCATTAACACTTGCTTGGTTAATTGACATTCTATTAACCTAAATAGACTACTTAAAGCGAGGAAATGTTGCTCCTATTGAAGTAATGTAATAGTTGAATGACGTTGGATTATGAACTCGACAAAACGGAAAAGAAAGCCCAACTGGACGCACGATCGGTTACTGCTGCTGGCCCAGTCGGTGCTAGAAAAAAAAAAACATAATAAAAGTGAAATTCGGCACTGGGATATCAAGCTAAACTAAGCGTGAGATATGGGAGAGGATTTGCTTGCAGATCAATGCAGCATTCCCGCTTGTTTCGCGGACCCCGGACGACTGCGAGAGGCGCTGGTATGCGCTACAATCCTTTGTGAATAGGTCTTAGTGAGTTAGGAGTCCTCTCGACTCCTTTTAAGCTGTCCCAGACTTGGGTGCTACTTTTAGTGCTAAAATGCTTTGTAAATTACTCTAAGTGAAAAAAATTAGGAGTGACACGCCCATTATTTTTAGGAGTTGCTCCTAAATTCGGCCGTTAGGAGCTACTTTTAGCCTTAAAATTCTTTGTGAATACGGCCCCAGATGCATAACAATGCTGGTTAACCTCCTTTGTTTTTATTTTTTTTTAAATAGGCCTAATGCTTAGTCTCAAATCTGACACAAGGGGGCGATTTATCTATACACAACTGTGATATTGTAACGTCTACAGATAAATACTTCAGCTGAAGGACTTCAAAACACACCTCAAATGACTGAGGGTGTGAACTGCATGCTGATATTTTGCAAACGGACCAAGTTCCATGTAAACACAAGAGTGTGGGACTGATCATATAGCATGAGGATCTCTCCACAGACACAAGAGTCACTGTTTTGTCATTTCCCAAATACCCACACCCAGGAAATTCAGTTGCTTTATCTGCCTGTTCAGCTCTTGATCCCTGCCATCCCAAAAGCCAGACATCTAATAATGAGTCATTTTATTAAATCACAGATATGCTGCGCTCTCTGGCTGGTTATTGCAATCGTTACTCCATAGAATGTCATCCATTTGAACTTATTAGAAGAAATCATAGTTTTAGAGTTACTTTAAGAGTTGGTATCTTAGATAAGGAGACAAAAATTCAAAAGACTGAACCTTGACTAATTTCTGGTTATTGAGTTAAGAGTTTGTTTGGTAAGCTTTTGTACACTGTGTGCTGATCAAACATTGAATGACTGTTTTCATGGTCTTCTAGGATGACGTAACCTAATTGGGATGTGGGGACTTAAGACTCAGCGTGTGGTCAGATTTACTTTTGTTCGGTAAATTTTCGCAGGCAATTTTTTTTAGGAATCCCACCCGATCAGGGATTCCACGTGAAGGTGAAAGATTTCTCACGCAGACCATCATTGGGGCTCGTTTGACATGCAACCATTTGACCCTTTTCACATTTCTGGGTTTTTCCGAAGCGGAAGTTGTTGTAGTTGTCAATAGTAGCAGGGCAAGTGTCACGCATTGAGCATGACAGTCACACATTTCGGTCTTCGTCACACACTCAAGCCAACCATTGTATTTCTCACACTGAAAAACTATTACTATAGTATATTCAATATGCCGCAGCGCCCAAAATTTCTCTGGCCGCATCACTCTCACTGTGGAAATGTCAAGAATCAAGCGTGTCTCCCCTGGAGTTCTTAGTTGAGCCTGCCACTTATCAGCCAATCAAAAAAAAGAAAAGAAAAAAGAAAGGGGTTACACAATAGCCAACTCTTGCCTGTATTTAAAACTTGAGAGCCTTTTAATAGTGAATGAGAGACTACATTAAATACATTTCATTCCTGCTAGCTAAAATAGCAAAAGAAAAACTCCGCAATAGTGTTTTCACAACTTTTACATGGGCAACCACACACATTTTCTTCAGAAAGTTGTACTAATTGGTAGTTTCTCCTTATTTATCTTTATAAATCTCTTTCACTCATTTACATTTAAAAATGTCATCAATTATTTCATTCTGCTAACTTTCAAGGATGTAAACCATGTTTCTACTCAAACCATTAATATGAACTGTTTCCAGATGGATAATGATGAAAATAATGGATTTCTATATTTTTACCAATTAATATGCCTGAGGATCTCACTCTTTTCTATGGCATAACTTGCATCTTGACTTTATTAAGGGAAATGCAGCAAACCAAACATGACAGCACTTGGTTACATTATCACAATTGATCTTTGGATTGCCAAAGGCAACTTCCTCTGCACTGAGGCAAAATGCCATATAAAGATTTAGATTCAGGCGGAATAAGACAAACACACGCTAAGAAAACTCACAGGAAGACAGAATGTTTATTTAAAATCTCAATCAAAATTGACACTTCAATCTTAGGGGTCATATATGGATTAAAATGACTGAACACACTTTTTAATATCTATGAAGGTTTACGCTCAAATAGAACATAATCTCCTGCCATACTCCAACTCTGGTTCTGGACTTGGAAAAAGGATGCCACATGCAAATAATAACTAATAACTAACATTTTTTTTCCACATAGTTTAGTTTCACAAAAGGGAGGAGAAAAAGCTTCCTATATCTTTTGCTGTCAAAGGCTGTTCAGCTAATTGACCTCAACAGTATGTTAACCTAACTAGGCAGATGCCAAAATGGGTTGCTTTGACATTTTCTCATCCGTGAAAAGCATCAATAAAACGACACAAGATAAAATAAAACACAATAAAATAAATAGTTCACTTGCAGTGAGCATAAACATTGTTTGCGCCAACAACACCGTGTATTGTGCAGTGAATTTTTAGCTGCTGAGAGTGTGAAAATAAATGAATATACATTTGTAAATTGATGGTCTGTTCATGAAATATTAATACATGATTTTTATTACAACCTTGGTCTTAATACTCAATTATTTTGCCCTTATCAGAAACCTAGATTAAAGTCTCTAAAAAGGGCTCCTTTTGAAATGTGGAGGGTTACGTTGTGTTATACTCATAATCATAATATTGACATAATCCTTTTTAATATAAATACCACCGGCGGGGGAAATAACAGTACAGAATTATGCATCTATGTAAATGTGATCTCAGGCTGCGGCAAGTGATCTAAAGTGCTGGACCAATTCTGTTTCTGATAGCTGATAAAAAATAAAAATTAAGAATTTATTTTTAAACTATGTTAATTCATTTATATGTGAACAAAATGTGTTCCTTTTTAATAAGTAGGTGGATTACACCAGTCAATTCTATTTCCTTTTAGAGCCCGAGAACTCTTTCATATCCTGGTATCACCCTGTCTGGCATTAATTCAGGATAATCATAGCACAGAGAACACAAAGAGCTAAATCAATCAGCCATTGATCCCCAGAGAAGAATAAACGGAGAAAAAAGGCTAATCAGATAATAGACCTCTATAACTTCTGCGCTCTTCCTGTCCATTTACTGGTAGTGAGAAGTGAACTATTGATCTTACCTCAGGCCAAACGTGTGGGACTGCTCGTAGTTGAAAAGGGAGTGAATCTTTGCATCAGAGTTAATGATGATGAGGCGGTCAATCAGGTCCTGACGAGAAGAAGGAGTGAATCATTATCAAAAATGCATGATTTTAAAATAAGTGAGACAAAGACACACCAGTCAAAGTGTGCCCTCCAATGATAGTGATTTGAACTGCAAATGAAGAAAATCAAAGCTGCAAGATTTCATATTCAACAACTCAGAGTTTTACCTGTCTCTTCATCAATACTGTTTTATCAGCAGACACAAATTAGATTTGATTTAGTCTTGTGTAGCCAAGAACCACCAACTTAGACTGAAAGAAGCATTCTGTCCATGTACAGTAACCAACCACAGTTAATTTTTTTATGTACTATTGAAAAACAAATAATTATAAAGCAGTCCCCGATGAATGGTTATACAAAAATACAGGAAAATGGAGGGAAAAGTGTAGAGACTCTATAAAACTATTAGTTAATATATATTTTATTGTTGCAAAATTTTGAGTCAGTAAGTTTTTTTATATATATTCTCACCAAGGCTGCATTTATTTGATTAAAAATACTTTAAAAAAAACAGTGCTATTTTAAAATATAATGACACTTTAAATTCAAATTATTACATATTTGAATTGATCATTGTGTTGTGAACAGGATGGCCAAGGGATGTGAGTGAAAGGCGTAAGGCCGGTGGTGCGATTGCTAATGAGCAACATCTGTGAGCACGCCGGTCTCACATCTCTCACGGAGCAGCAGAAGGATAAAGGGGGAACGACGATGTAGATGATCGAGAGAGGAACAGGCCTGGTTTTCACGTTGGGTTTTGTTTGTATTTTATTTTCGGTAGCCAGCAGTCGTCTGCGAGTAAATTTTTAGTTTGTTTGTTATATTTGAAATAAAGTTTTTGTGATTGTTCGTCGGTTCCCACCTGCTCCTTCCCTGAACTTTGCTACAATCATATATTAATATATTTAAAAATGTAATTTGCAAAGCTGAATTTTCAGCGGTCATTACTGCTATGATTAGACATCATTTTAAAATACTGATTTGGCACATCAGAAACATTTCTTTTTAAGAAATGTTATTATATTAACACAGTAGAAAACAGATGTGCTGCTTACGTTTGAGTAAAAAAAGTTGTTTTTTTTCAGGATTCTTGATGAATAGAAAGATCAAAAGAATTATTATGTATTATTATTACTATATTGCTCATACCGCTCACAGACAAATTCCTACAATTTATACTGTTTGTATTGAGAAATCACTCAATACAAGTTCGTTATGTGTACAAAAGGTATCAGAAGATCAGTGAACAGAATGTGGGCGGTTCATGGCTCTGAGTTGAGACTAGACACATATAGGTCAGTTTGGGTTTGTCTATTACTCACTAAAACTGATGTGGCCATCTCCCTCAGATTGTACTCTGTCTTGTTAGGAAGCGTTCGATGTCCCAGCAGCTCCCACACAGCGTGAGGTGAAGAAAGCAGATTGACTAGAGACAAGAAGGACTACACACACAAAACTAACTCAAAATCATTCAGAAATATATCGCCCATATTTGGGGTCAAAACAATGTCAAAAAGTATTTAGATTTTTAGTGTTTGTCCTTAATGGTTTATTCAAATCAAAATAAAAAAAGGTCTGCTTTCATAATGTTTTATTAAATGTAATAATTTGCTACTGGATAATGTTAACCAGGTAAAATGTGTTGTGAATGCAATTCCATATTAACTTTAATTGGTTGGTGGGTCATTGTGTGCACTGTTGCATTTATTTATGGAATTATTCAATGTAGCTTGTATAGGCAGACTATGGAAATTGGCTAATTGAAGCCTTATCCATAGAATCTCAATGAAGCATAGCTTTTGCTTCTAAATAACTGTAAATCGCAAAACATGCAAGATAAATGATGGGGGAGTCAGAACCTTGAGGCAGCTCCTGTCAATAGGGTCCATCGGAGTAGATTTCGGATGGACCACCCTCACATCCTCTCGACCACACTCCAAGGCTGACCACAGCTCCACCACGATTGTCTGGAAAAATCCTGCGAATCCACTCAAAGTTCAACTCCTTTATCAGCCTGAAAACCTAGTTTCCATGTTAAAACATTTCCCTTGAGCAACAACATTGTCTCGGTGACTAACGTCCTTAATCAATAGTACGAGGAAATGTAATGATTGCAGAAACACTAACAATGTAATTCAGTATTTTTTTTTTACATGACCTTTGCTGTCTGAAGCTGTCAGGAGAAAATATGGAAGATTTTGTTCTTAACTCTCTTGATGTAGATGAAATTGGTCATAAATAATACTTCTAGCTACCTGAGCTTTGCAAGGCCACAATTCCTGGAGCTGTGGAAGCCACCTGGGTCACCATCACACCATAACCAAACTTTTCACACCTGCTGACCTAAGATAAGAGAAGGAATGGAGGAAATACACATCCTTCAAATTCCAGAGTCTGGAAATCTGTATTATCTAGCGCAAAAAAAAGTCCCCAATGGCAAGTGAGTAGACTCAAGTAATGAGTCTTGAGCATAAATGTACACTATACATTGATTTTATATACTATTCACAAGGGTATTATTATATTATATTATGAAAAGTTGTGGTGGCCACATTGGTGAGATCATATGACCACACTTTTTGGGTGAACAATCCCTTTAATATAAGTATTACTAGCCAATATCAGAATAAAATGCTTTTGAAAGTGGCATTTGGTAATATCACCTGTAGTTTTTTGGTGAATCTAGAGAACATGTAGCTGACACACTCGTTAATGGCTCCAGTCTGTTGGAGGAGTAGCAGTCCTTTTGGTGTGGCAGCAAAATTCAGCAGGTTGTCCAACAGCATCTCTTCCCAGGCAACCCTGTAGAACCAGGATAAAAAATTCATGAATAAGGTAAATTATTTCTTGTTCTTGTTGTTTCATTCCCACAAAACAGCATTGGCAGGCCAAGCTTGAGTTTAGCACAGAAACAAACAGCTTGTGCAGGAACATGAGATCACTGGAGGCATGATGGAGAGATACTCACATGCTCTGCAACTCCTGGGTAGCCAGCACTGGGGGAGCTCCGGGAACAGGAGTGGGAACTCTCTCTGACATTGAGCTTGTCTGCGGGGAAAGAGAATTTGCTGTCAGGCTGGACTGCTACACGGCATTCAAACCCATCGGCTAAATAATGAGACGACATGTTGAATGCACTTTTGATTCCTCACACCGTTCGTACTCAGCCTTTTTGAAGGCAGGGGAACCCCCGGGAGGTTTCATTACTGATGTGATGGCGCGGCACTTTACTGCTGCTTCTGTATTCTACAAATCCTCTTCGCACAGCCCAGAGATTGGACTTTCAGCATTTCTTCCAACATTAATACTGTTTTGCTTGGGGAACAGACACTGCAGGCTCTAAAGCAACAGTTCAGAATGAGTAAAAAAAAAAAAAAGGAGGCTGATTTTGGCTGTGAGAGGGCTGATAATAATAAATAAAACAAATTTCAAATAAGCAGAATTCTGTTTTGTTAAAAGGCAACTGGAGAAAAAACATGTTTACATTGCAATCTGTATTATTAAACTGTATTTTAAATTTTATTATAGTTCATCCATAAATTAAAAAAAAAAAAAATTCAAGACACAGTCATTTCTGTGGTACGCCAGGACATACACTATGGTTTAAAAGTTTGGGTTCAGTAAGATTTTTTTTAAAAAGAAATAATACCTTTTATTCAGCAAGGGTACTTTAAATTGATCAAAAGTGACAATAAACACCTTTTTATTTTTTAGAAAAGTTGTCTATTTCATATAACATTTAACATTGATGATAATAATAATAAGAAATGTATCTTGCACCAAATCAGCAAATTAGAATGATTTCTGTGACACTAAAGACTGGAGTAATGATACTGAAAATTATTGACAAATAGAATAAACAAATAAGATTTCAAATAAGCAAAAACCTAGGGCTAGTCCGCAAAAGTAGGTTTTTCAAAGAATCCACTACGCTACTCACTTGAACCCCTTAATATACACCTATTTCGAAGGTGCTATGACAGGGGTTGCCCACTGACACGAGGGGTGTATGGATTTCCTTTAGATCAAGTCCCTCAAAATTGCACACAGATGAACATTTTGAGCCAATCATTCCTCATAATGCACTTTTTTCATTGAAGCGCACACACAAAAACATTCAAGAGCACAGACATTTGTTATGAACGCTGCCCCGTGACTTTTAGTAGTAAGTAGCTTCGCTACTGAATCGCTACATTATATTTTTCAGCAATGAGGGGTTTACATCACTATTTTGAAGTAAATTTAGAAATAAATGCTATAATTTATTCATTCAAATAAATGTGATCTTATGCACTACTTTATCTCTGTGTGCCTGATTCAAAGCAGAGCGAGGTAAAATACTCCGGTAAAATATTGCACTGCCTGCAAACATCAATGTAACAAGGTTCAGGGAAGAAGGAGGCAGGAACCGGATAACAATCGAAAAAATAAAACTTTATTTAAATGAAATAAACAAACAAAATACCGGCCAGCAGCCCCTCGCGGACGACTGCTGGCTTTCCAAATAAAATATACGATACAAATAAAAGCAGGCCTTATTAGTAAATGATTTTAATGCATTTCGCAGAGGCAACCGTTGGTTCTTTGCCTCCACGTCGTGCTTAAAAATCATTTATGCACAGCTAGCCGTGGATTATTTGAACCTGCGCTAGCGCAAAGACCCGACAAACAATTCGCAAGCTTCTGTGATCATCCCTCCATGTGCCATAGGTTGCCGACCCCTGTGCTGTGGCATAATTAAAGATCTGGGCTTGTAACTGAAGGATTGTAGGTTTAAAGTCAACAAGGTCGTCATCATTTTATATTTACTATACTGTTAGTCTGGATAAAACAGTTAGCTAAAGAGTGCATTGGTAAAAACTGAACTAGTGAGGCTAATGTGTATAAAGCTCACCGTTCTCCAGGCTTTAGCGATGCACTCATGCAGGGTGTATGGCCGTAGAACTTGCAGCCCCTCGCAGGTGTTGTACATTTGCCGACAAACGAAGATAAAGGCCCCGCTCACAGCAGTAGAAATCTCCAGCTCACTGAACACATGCAGCTCTTTTGCCAACAGCCTCTGAGTAAACTGCACAACCACATGTGCAGCTGAAATACTGTAGAAACAACAGGACAACATATTAGTACCGTGTTATTCCAATTTGATAAAATATTAAAGAGGCTGGATCTGTGAATGTTATTTTAGAAATGGAAACTGATTTTAACTGCTGGATTAGTGTGGTCAAATGAATGGCGGTATAGCATTGTGGATAACAACATGGGCAATTCTATTCTATATTATTCAACTTATTTAAACGTAAAAGTAGGTGCAGACATTTGTAACTTGAAGGTGCAAGGCTTCTGGTGTCTTCGGTTTCCAATTATTTTAGCGGTACAGACACAGTCTGTTATGTTGCTTGATATTGCAAACTGGTATCATCTCGTAATCATAAACACAATGGTTTGTAGCGCAAAGAGTTATACCCTTTACTGCACTTATTATTCTTCTAGTTATTTACCTGTAGAAGCTAATAAATCGGAGTATGTTACAACTCATCTCACTAAAGACAATGGTGTCAAAGGGTCCTTTCTTTTATTAAGAAGCTCATCCTTTCATTCTATGCATGCTGATGATATATATGACCCAAGTGCTGACTATCTTGAGATGACACTAGCAGGACGAAAAAATAATGAATGTAACCTGAGAGCAAAATTAGATTTACTTACCTTTCACCCTCGGCCGAGACGAGATTTCTGTCATAAAGCAGGAGTGATAAACCTCGTTCAGTGGTAGCGATCCTCGCCAGGGTGTCTGCTATGTGAGTCAGGGCACTTTCTAGGGAATTTAATTTAGGCTGCAACAAAAGACAAATTGAAAATGCTTGGGGTGAACAGTATAATGCATATTAAATACTGCAGATGAGGTCTATGATGAGATGTTATATAGAAGGTTACAGTTTTATTTCAGGATTTAAACTAACAGGCTTCTTCTGTAGTGAAACTAGAAATATCCTGTTTACGCATTCAATGACACTAACATTCAAAAGTTTGAGGTCAAGATTTTTCTTTTTAAAAAATAAATTAACCTGAAGGATCAATTAAATGTATGACAGTCAACAGTTTTCAACATTGATAATAATTTAAAATGTCTAATTTCTAAAGGATCATTACAAGAAAAACAAATATTTCATATACATGAATATCTTATATTTTCGGCCTTGATTAGCATAAATATTCTTAAAAAAAACTACATGCAAAAATTTTGCATGGTACACATATTCTATTGTTGCGGGAATTTAAATAGCGAAAATGGCTCGTTTTGAAATTGTGTCATGGTTTTACAAACCCTCTATAAAGTTTTGTATAGTAGTAGAAAAAAAATAAAGAAATCATCATAGAATTGATGTCAAAAACAACATATTAACATAAAACTACCCACATTAGCATGCCTATTCAGTATTCAGGAACATTAGCTACTATAATGGACGAGAATGTCCACTATAAATAAAATACAGAAGTGGAGCAGAATTCACATTTCATAATCATGAACTGATAAACTCTTGATAGCACATGTGCTGATGGAAGTGTTCATGTTCAGCTGACCAGCTTTCCTTTAAGCAGGGTGATAACAGGAGCCAGCAGAGTCTCTATAACAGGGATTTGGTAGAGACACTCCACAGCACACTCAGTGCGGTCACACAGGGTCCTTAACACCTCCATCACAAGATGAGTGGGAGACAGGGAGTCTAGAAAATACACAAACACAGACACATATACCTTTAATAACTCGTTGGGAGCTTAAAGAGGGCTCTGTTGTTGGCCTTTAGTTTTACTGCAGATCTCAGTTAATGAATGATTTAAAGTGCAGCACAACATGTCCGACAAAGACAAACCAAGAGAAAAGTAGTCCTTTAAAAAAAAAAAAGTCTAACCCTTTAAAAAAATGTATGTGCCTTAATAAGTGATTTACGCTACGTGGTTAAAGCCTGGTTCACCTGAAAATGAGAATTCTCATCATTTACTCCTAATTCTTATGAATTTGTTTTTTTTTTCCTCTGTGGAACGCAAAATGAGAAATGTTGAATAATCTGATGGTCACTTTTAATTGAATGTCAAACAATGAAGAAAGTCACACAGATTTGGAACAACATGAGAGTGAGAAAATAATGATTTTTCATTTTTATTTTGGTGAACTACAGTTTGCCTTTAAATAAGCAACCAAATTAATAATCAGCTCCACATAATAAGATAATCACTGTATAAGGTTCAGTCCTGTAAGTTTCTTTGATAAGATTGAATAAATTATCCTTCCAAACAAGTGAGTAAGTTCATTAACCCGAGGAAGACATAATAGACCCTTGTTCTGATTCAGTTGTGTCACTGTGAGAAGGATGATCTGGCACACCCATTTTAGCACTAACATTTACATAAAAAGGTCATAAAAAATGATACACTAAGTGATACACTCCTTATGGCAGGTGTGGTTGAGTTTCTGATATAGAGTTAATCAGAGTTTATCACTTTGGTACTGTTATGACACACCTGCATGCGGTGTCTCGCCACAGGACGGTTTTGGGTGTTGGTATATGATATTGATCAGAATCACAACCAAGTCGGTCAAAGTTACCGGATCTGAAACAGGCGACAAGTTTAACATGTTTAGCACGTAGGGTTTAACACGTAGAGATTGTTTAGTGAGTCAAACATGTTATTCTCAAAAATGATTGCTTCTTCCCCTCCAAACTTACCTCTCCGCTTCTTCACTTTAATGGGGAAAAGTTTCCTTCCATTAGTGTACATCACAAGCCTCCCGAGCACACACAGCGAGTGAACGAAATAAACAAACTCCAGCTCTTTAGAAGTGTAGAGAGTTCTCCGAGCAGGGCCTGAGGGGCAAAACACAAGAAGATCTCATTCGCAGAGCATGCTCTAAATGGATTCAGTTATTTGCATGTAACCTCCGGTTTCTAAATTAGCACTGAAATATAAATTTGAATCTTTACACAAACCTGAGTGCAGAAAGGTTGCATATTCAAAAAGCATTAGAAAAAGTAGATGGTTTATTTACTGGGTATCATAAAATACATCTCCAAGTCCCATAACAAAAAGAAAGAAATATTAAACGGTTAGTTCACCCAAAAATTAAAATTCTGTCAGTAATTACTCACCCTCATGTTGTTCCAACCTCGTAAGACTTTCATTCCTCTTTAGAACGCAAATTAAGATATTTTTTATTAAATCTGAGAGCTATCTCACTTCTCCATAGGCTTCTATTGTAATTGAAACCTGCCAGCCCAGAAAGTCAGTAAAAACATTGTTAAAATAGTCCATGTGACTAAAGTGGCTCAACCTTAAGTTTATCAAGCGACAAAAAAAAAAAAAAAACCCTAAAACAAGTTCAACAACTTTATTCAACTATTAATTTTCTTCTACATGAGCCTTTGAGTGAGTTCACGTAGTGTAACAGCACAGCACTTCGGGGTTGTACGTCAGAACGTAGGCTCACTATTGGCCAGCATTACACTCATTACCAGCGTCGGCCAATAGTGAGCCTACGTTCTGACTCACTAAGTGAACTCACTCAGACAGAATTTTCATTTTTGTGTGAACTAACCCTTTAAATTATTTAGACCTTATAAAATGTATAAAAGAACATCATCTAATGAGAATCCTCATTAGGAACAATAGAAAATAAATCTCAAAAGTAAAACATCTGGATAAATGCAATTACACAATTTAGACTGAGTGGGTGGACTATTAAATTGCCATGCCAAATGCTGAAATAAAGAAAAATAAATATTTCACCAGTACATATTTCTGTGATATTCACCCAGTAAGCAATTTTACAAGTATTTTGACCTTTTCAAGATAAGATTGATTACTCCGAAATAAGACATCTGAAATCTATAGCAATACTACATGAGTGACCTTCTGTGGAAGAATCATAAACTGACTCTATTCAGAAAAACTAGATAAGCGGCTTTTGAATCCAGCTGATGTGTTATGAATATTTTACAGCTGTGGGAGGTTTGAAAGTCTGGTAGCTATGACTTGTGTATGCAGCAGAAGATAACGCAATCAGTCAATACTGTGTGTATGTTTGGGTGTTTTGTTTTTTCATGTGAAAGTTCCAGCTACAATACAGAACCCAAATTTTGGGAAGGTTTTTCACTGTAAGTCCCTTGGAATTATCTCTGGCAATGATAATCTAGCTAGTTGACCATGAGACGGTTCGTAACAGCACACTGGGGAAAACATAAGCCAGGTTGACAGATAAAGTATGATACTGCATGTGAACATTGTGGGCAAAAGTTCAGCCGTACCAATCTGCTGATGTTCCAGGCTGTGGATAATTTCCTCTCTTACTGAATCACAGGAATCGAAGTAATAAATGCACTGCTGCAGAGCATTAACAATCTGGGGAAAAAAGGATTAATAATCACTTGAACACATACTATTATTAGACACTTGAAAAACTAATTTCACGCATTTAAACCAGGCAGTGAATACTGATTATCTTCGGAATAGCATATTATCATGCTACAAAGTATTCAAACAATTGCAATGTAGAGTATGCATATTTTTAGTTTTATGCCGCTAAACATACAAATGTAAGGCTTTTTAAGACCTACACAAATTAAATACCCAATGAGAGGGTGTCTATTTTATACTTAACCATTAAAAGACGATTAAAAAAAAACAACTAGTTCAAATTCAAATACAGGTTTTGACAAAAAAGTTGTTTAAAATGCTAAACAATTAATTTCAGCATTTAATAATAATAATAAAAATAAAAAGTTGTATTTATATAGCACCTTTTCAGGGCTATATAAACAAGCAACAATAATGACAACAAACAAAACAACAGTAGGCAGATGGGAATAAAAGTATAGTGAATGATAATTATGTAGATGGGGCAGCATACAGCATACAATCAGACACAATGAAATGTAGTACAACTTAAGAATGGTGACATTCAGAAAATAAATTAATTTTGAGCATTCAGAAATAGTATTAACACAACAGCGTGATCAGAGGAGAGAGTAGCAACGACACTGAATGATCTTTTCCCCATTGAAGCTACTGTAGGCGATGCCGCGTGACAACGAGAAGGCATAGGGTCGTAGAGAGCGGGTGTAGGGGTGGAGCAGGTTACAGAGATAGGGGGAACCCAAGCTGTGCAGAGATTTAAAAGTGAGCAGGAGGATTTTAAATGTATGTAATACGGTAAGCCACTGGAAGCTAGTAAAGATTGTACAAAATTGGGGTGATATGGGTAGAACGTTTGGTGTGAGTAAGTATTCTAGCAGCAGAGTTTTGAATGTATTTGGAATTGGAGCTAGCAGATAGGCCAATGAAAAGGCCATTACAGTAATTAAGATATGATGTGACAAATGCATGGATGACAGTTTCAGCGTCATTGATTAAATCTTAAAGATTAAAGACTTTTTATGCCCTTAAATTGAATAAAACTGAATGTAAGACTTTTTAAGACCTTTTAAGGAGCCATGGGGATCCTGTGCTCATCATGTGACAACAATGCAGTACAATATTGTTTGAAATTGTCTATTGTAGTGCTATACGTATTATCAAAAAGAAATCCAGTTTTCACTATGCTAGTATTCCATTCACCCTGGATTTTATGGTTAAGGCTAGAAGTTAGCATTCACAACCATTGGTTTGTGCATACCACATGGAATAACTCACCAAAGACTTGTATTTCCTCTCAAGAAGTCTTAAGACGACGGTTCTGCTGTAGTAGCCATGCTAGAAAACAATATTTAGACATCAATTTTAATGGTATTCTGATCGTTTGAGTAGAGAAATCATTTTTTAAATTCATATTGGTCATGTTTTCCAATAAACATACCTAAACATACATTTACTTGAGAAGCAAAACTGAACTTCAGAGAATATATCTTGAATTGTGTTTTACTTGTTTTTAGTGTAAAAGTCCTGCTTCACACCAAGAACATCAATCAATGTCAATCAATCATTCAATATCAATCTATTTATTGGAAATTGGACATGGAAAAACAAGTAAACAAAAATTCTAAAGCTGTGTTCACACTGATGAAAGCATATGGGCGTTCTCAATACTGGTTGCCTAGTAACATTTACGAGTGACGTACTGTACATGCATATTCCATGTTGTAGACACCAAATCAGTTTTCTTGTTGTTAAATGATAGAGCTAAAGAGTTTTTCCATGCGCCTGGCGTATGTTTTCAATTGTTTTCAATGGGAGCGCCGCGTTTTTTAAACGGCATGAGCGTAACAAGGCACTGAGCGTTTTTTTCACGCTGAAGCGCCGAGCGCCCACCGTTTTTTACTGGTCGCCGAGAGTTGAAAAATGTAGAGTGTCTGGCATTTTCAGCTGGCTAAAAATGCTTTGGTGGACACACGGCCTAGGAAAGTTAAACCGGTAAACACTCTCCACTACAGGATGCAGTGATGAATTACGTGCGGTCAGCTGACAACACTCCTATTGGTTGTCGCTCCCGGAGGTCACTCTTAACACTTGCATTGCTCAACACTACAACATCCTGTCGCCAATGTCACTGTTGCTCATAACAACGGAAATCAACACTTTTCCATTTAAATGACTGGGATCATGTCGCTTTGTTGCTGCATGTCGCTGGCAGTGTGAACACGGCTTAATTTAGAAAACGCCTTTTGTGTTTTTGGTTTTGTTTATTCTTTGATAAAAAGTTGGCTCACCATCCATTTCTTGAACCAGGTGGCTTTGATATCCAGCAGAGAGATTAAGTGTATAGGCTCTAGGGATTTCTCTGAGCCGGGACTGCTCATGCCTTGTTCAGAATGCAGAGCGAGAAGAGAGAGGGTGTTCTCAATTATTTCCTCCATGTACCTAGAACACAGGATGAAAATCATTTATTTTCAAGAATCTGACACAATCAAGATATAGTATACCATATATTTGAGGAATGGGATTGACACGTGAAAGCTCACTTCTCAGGATGTCGTATCCAAAATGTTGTCACTTCCTTTTGAAAGTCGTTCATTAATCGCATCTGCAACGACCAAAAAGAAACAAGTTCATCTATATCCAAGCTACCTAAACTTTATTCATATGCAAGGAGAAAAGAAATGACATATACCTGTTTAAGGAGACGAGCCATATCTGGTCTGTTCGCATCAATACTTGAAGAACCGCTGGGAAAACTCAACTTGTGGTACAGGAAATGAGCCTCCAAGCTTTTTGCTGAAAAGAAATGGTGACATTTCATGAGAACGAAATGACAGACTGTTCAGTCTCATACATACTGAATATTAACGCATATTGTGTTACGGCCTCAGCCTTATGGGTGTTGCCTATGTATTTGTGTGTGTATGTTTGTCTTGTAATCTAATTAATGTCTCTTCTTAAGTGTAGGCTCCTCCCTTGCGCACCTGTGGTTCGTTGCTCTGATGGCTCGTGCTGAGCATATAAGCGGTGTGTGCAGGAGTGTGAGACACGCAGCGGTGAAACTCCGTGCGCGTCATGACCATCTAAACATCCGATCAGCTTCAACTCAAGCCTGTGTTCTTTGTATTGTGCCACTGTTCTGTTTCATTTTTGTTAGTGTTTGGTATGTCTAGTGTAGAGAAAATGTGAGTTTTCTGTGGGAAGAGTGAGAACATGAGAGACGTGAGATTGTGCAGTCATTTATTAGTATAAATAAATGTTTTAAACTGCTTTTTGCCTTGCGTCTCCTTTTATGTTATTGAACCCTTACAAAACGAGCATTCTTAACAACAGGGTTCGTAACATAATTGGGGGCTCGTCCGGGATATGTGTTTGAGTAGTGGCAATTTGATTGATCTAATTTAATTCAGGTGACCAATATCCTCTGGTTAGTTAGAGTAAGCCAGCAGGGCTGTGCTTAGCGCCAGTTCTGACGACGGTTTACTGTTTATTGTTTTGCTTTATTATTTTAGTTTGTTGTTTTTGGAGGTATTCCGGGGGAGAGAGCGATCTCTTAATCGGTACCCTCTGAAGACTAGGTAGGGTATTATTTAGATTAATGGCTAGGTAGGTAGGTCCAGAGGGTGTTGGATTATCCTGATTGCTTTTGCGTGTTTTTCTTTTTGTTTTTTTTATATAAAGATGGCAACGTTTGAGCTCAGTCAATTTTTAGATCAACCTAGTGTTGAAGCTTTAGAGACATGTCGAAAAAATGATTTGTTTCTTATTGCTCAACATTATGAGATTTCTATCTCTAGAACACTTCGTAAGGAAGAGTTGAAAGCTTGTTTAGTGACTAGTCTGATTAATAAAGGGGTATTTTCTTCTATTGAGGCTGTTCCTACTGCAGCAGCGGAGTTGGCGATACCAGCTGCAGGAAGTCCGCCCTTACGTGTAACGAGTGGTGTTCCAGTTACTCCAGTGATCGGGGTTGGTGCGGAGGTACGTCCGTCTTTTTCACTACCTAAATTTGAACCTTTGTCGCTGTCCGCAGAATCATCAGGTTTGCGTACAGATTCCCGTTTAAAGCTACGTTTAGCACGGTTACAGTTAGAAACTCAGGATAAAGCTCAGGCGAGACAAGATGATTTGAAGCATCAGATTGAAATGTACCGAATTGACGCTGATATGAAGGTGCGATTGCGGGAGTTGGAGTTGCAGGCTGCTTCAGAGGTACCTAAAAAATCTATCGTCAAAACATCTCGGTTGGAGGTTAATTCTGAGACATCTGCTGGTCAATCCACTTCGGGTGTTAATTCTGTGCCGTCTGATGTGGGATCTGAGTCTGTAGCGCCGTTTTCGACACATTTTGATGTGGCTAAAAATATATCTATTGTTCCACCCTTCCGTGAGAGGGAAGTTGAGGCATATTTTCAAGCTTTTGAACGAATTGCTGTTGCCTTAAGATGGCCAAACGAGGTTTGGGCACTAATGTTACAATGTAAACTCTCAGGTAAGGCACAAGAGGTGTGTGCATCTCTCTCGGTAGATGAAAGCGTACAGTACGATGCCGTGAAAACTGCAATATTACGAGCGTATGAATTAGTTCCTGAGCACTATCGACAACGATTTCGCACTACGAACAAAGGCATGTCTCAAACGTATGTCGAGTTCGCTCGCGAAAAGGGCATTTTATTTGATCGGTGGATCAAGGCGTGCAGGGTAACTGACTATAATTCTTTGCGAGAACTTTTGCTGATTGAAGAATTTAAGAACTGTGTTCCCGAACGTACTGCGTTGTATTTAAATGAACAGAAAGTCAGCACTGTACAACAGGCTGCCGTGTTAGCTGACGAGTACGCATTAATGCATAAAACTGTGTTTGCAAAGCGTCCGTCTGACTGTGGGGGTTCCTCATTAAAGGAAAATGAAAATCTTTCCGACTCACGAAATAAATGGGTTCCAACCAGTCCGAAGTTTAACCGAGAGTGCAGTTATTGTCACAAGACGGGACATGTTATAGCTGAGTGTCGTACTTTAAAACGCAAACAAGAGCGACAAGATTCTTCATCTTTCCAGCCTCGAGGTTCAGTATTAGTGAAAACTGTGTCCCCATCATCCGTCAGTTCTCTTGTGACACCTGACAGCTGTTTTCAGCCTTTCGTATTCGATGGATTTGTTTCGTTAAATGAGAAGGTCGAAAGCCAAAAACCTGTAAGAATTCTCCGTGACACAGGAGGATCTCAGTCCTTTATATTATCAGATATTCTGGGTTTTTGTGCTAATTCGGCATGTAATACCAGTGCGATTGTGCAGGGTATTGAAATGGGTTTTGTGCCTGTTCCTCTCCATCGAGTATATGTTTCTTCTGATTTGGCATCTGGGTGCTTTGAGGTTGCAGTTCGTCCTTCTTTACCGGTGAAAGGTGTGGATTTTATCATGGGAAATGACATAGCTGGAGGTAAGGTAATGCCGGTAGTACAAGTTGTTGATGTCCCATGCAATGATTCGCAGGCTGATGCACTTGGTAAAAATTTGCCGAATGTGTTTAGTGCTGTTGTAACGCGAGCACAGGCGAAACAGGACATTCACGAAAGTAATACTCTTTGTGATTCTGTCTTTTCACAGATTTTGAAAACTGATGTTCTTCCCGACTCTCCTGACTCGACTAAAACGACTTTAAAGGCATCTGATGGCTTTGATCTTAGTTTGATCTCTGATTTGCCCATCTCGCGTGAAATTCTGATCGAAGCTCAGCGAAATGATTTATCATTAGAAAAATGTCGTGCGAGTGTTGAAAATGACAAAAAGTCGCTGCGTAATCACCAGTTCTACTGGAACGATGATGTGCTCATGCGTAAATGGAGTAGATCTTTAAATTCTGAGCAGCGAGACGATTGGAATGCGGTGCATCAAATTGTGGTACCTTCAAAATTTCGATCACATGTTTTAAGTCTGGCTCATGACCATCTTTGGTCTGGACACCTAGGGATAACTAAGACCTATAACCGGGTGCTCCAGCATTTTTTTTGGCCAGGGTTAAAGTCTGATGTTGTGACACACTGTAAGACGTGTTACATTTGTCAGGTTAGTGGAAAACCTAATCAGATTGTACCACCTGCTCCTCTGTGTCCTATTCCTGCCGTTGGAGAACCATTCGAGCGCGTTCTAGTTGACTGTGTGGGTCCACTTCCTCGGGCTAAGTCTGGTTGTCAATATTTGTTGACAATCATGTGCGCGGCTACCCGGTTTCCAGAAGCCATTCCGTTACGCAACATAACGGCTAAGACAGTAACTAAAGCCTTAACTAAATTCTTTACAACATTCGGTTTGCCGAAAACTGTCCAAACTGATCAGGGTTCGAATTTTGTGTCTCGTATCTTCCGTGCCTCGTTAAAGGCTCTTGGCGTTTCTCACGTAGTATCAAGCGCCTATCATCCCGAGTCGCAAGGTGCTTTAGAGAGGTGGCACCAAACATTAAAATCTGCACTGAGAAAGTACTGTACAGAGACTGGGAATGAGTGGGACGATGGAGTTCCTTTGGTGTTATTCGCGGTACGTGAGGCGCGGCAGGACTCGCTTGGGTTTAGCCCGTCAGAGCTTGTGTTTGGACATAATGTCCGTGGTCCTTTGAAAATGTTAAAGGAAGAATTTCTCGGTAACAGTTCGTCTGTGAAGACCAACGTCCTTGATTTTGTATCACGTACTCGCGAACGTTTGCACAATGCTTGTGCTGTGGCGAAGGAAGCACTTTCTCTGTCACAAACGAAAATGAAAAAACATTTTGATAGGAAAGCAGTTATGCGTAATTTTTTGCCAGGCGAAAAAGTTTTGGTGTTGCTTCCTATTCCTGGATCTTCTCTCTCTGCGCGTTTCTCTGGTCCTTACGTGATAAAAAGTAAGTGGAATGAAACTGATTATATCTTACACACGCCAGAACGGAGGCGAAAAACTCGTTTATGTCACATAAACATGTTGAAACCATATTTTTGTGTCGAACCAAAAGAGAACCCTGAGAATTTGGTTAGTGAATCGGTGACTAAAGGAAATACTGAGCGCGTTTCATTGTTGGCTTATGCTTTGCCTGTCGATACTGCGGACGATGGGTTGAATGTATCCATGGAAGCTTTAGGAGGAGGATGTTTTGAAAACTCTAAGATTTTATCTTTGCTTCCTGAGCAACTATCCTATCTATCGCCTGAACAGCGAGAGGACGTAATGAAGTTGATAGACAGTTTCCCGTGTTTGTTCAATGACGTTCCTCCGGGTACTAATGTCATTCAGCATGACATTGAGGTCGGTAGCGCATTACCGATCAAGCAACACGCTTATCGTTGCCCAATGAGTCTGAGAGAAGCCATGAAAAGTGAGGTTAAGTATTTATTGCAGAATGGTTTCGCTGTCCCGAGTAATAGTCCATGGAGCTCACCGTGTGTTCTGGTACCGAAGGCTGATGGGTCTTTACGTTTCTGCACTGATTTTAGAAAGGTAAATTCCATCACAGTGGCTGATGCTTTTCCGTTACCGCGGATGGAAGATTGCATTGATTGTCTTGGGGGTGCGAAATATATTACTAAGTTAGACCTTTCGAAAGGTTATTGGCAGGTGCCGTTAACCGAGCGCGCTTCTAAGATCTCCGCCTTCGTAACCCCCGATTCTTTTCTGCAGTATAAACGCATGGCATTCGGTCTGAGAAACGCACCAGCAACGTTTCAACGTTTAATGTCCACAGTCTTAGGTGACGTTCCTAACTGTAACATCTATTTAGACGATGTAGTTATTTATTCGACTACATGGGCTGAACACATGTTGACCTTGCATGACGTGTTTCGTCGGTTAAAGGCTGCTTCCTTAACGTTAAATCTAAAAAAATGTGAATTTGCTAAGGCTTCTGTCACTTATTTAGGGAAGCAGGTGGGAAACGGTAAGGTACGGCCATTGGACGGAAAAGTGACTGCTGTCCTCAGTTACCCAGTGCCTACTACGAGGAGAGAACTACGTAGATTCCTGGGGATGGTTGGGTACTACCGGTGTTTTTGCAAAAATTTCTCGAGTGTGGTTGCTCCTTTAACGAAGTTGTGTAGTCCTAAAGTTTGTTTTGACTGGACTAATGAGTGCCAGCAGGCATTTCTTTCTGCTAAATCTCTTCTTTGTAGTGCACCTGTGCTGTCTGCTCCAGATGTGACTCGTCCATTCCAGCTTGAGGTCGACGCTAGTGCGGTTGGAGTGGGAGCTGTCTTGCTGCAGGAGGGTGCTGATGAAATAGGCCACCCCGTATCGTACTTTTCAGCTAAGTTTAACAGTCATCAGTTGAATTATTCAACGATTGAAAAAGAAACTTTAGCTATGTTGTTAGCCTTACAACATTTTAATGTTTATGTGGGGTCTAGTTCTTCTCCGATCGTTGTTTATACGGATCACAATCCGCTGGTTTTTCTGGGTAAAATGTACAACCATAATCAACGATTGATGCGTTGGGCTTTAATGGTCCAGCCGTATCATTTAGAGATCCGTCATAAAAAAGGATCTGATAACGTGGTAGCAGATGCGTTGTCTCGTGGATTGAGTTAAGCTCTGGTTCTATGCAGAATCAGTTTTCTTTTCCCCTTCTAAGGAGGGAAAGAAGAGGAAAAAAAAAGTCTGATTCTTCCTTTAGGGGGAGAAGTGTTACGGCCTCAGCCTTATGGGTGTTGCCTATGTATTTGTGTGTGTATGTTTGTCTTGTAATCTAATTAATGTCTCTTCTTAAGTGTAGGCTCCTCCCTTGCGCACCTGTGGTTCGTTGCTCTGATGGCTCGTGCTGAGCATATAAGCGGTGTGTGCAGGAGTGTGAGACACGCAGCGGTGAAACTCCGTGCGCGTCATGACCATCTAAACATCCGATCAGCTTCAACTCAAGCCTGTGTTCTTTGTATTGTGCCACTGTTCTGTTTCATTTTTGTTAGTGTTTGGTATGTCTAGTGTAGAGAAAATGTGAGTTTTCTGTGGGAAGAGTGAGAACATGAGAGACGTGAGATTGTGCAGTCATTTATTAGTATAAATAAATGTTTTAAACTGCTTTTTGCCTTGCGTCTCCTTTTATGTTATTGAACCCTTACAAAACGAGCATTCTTAACAACAGGGTTCGTAACAATTGCATCATGCTAAAGTAAGTTTAAACTATTACCAATGCTAGCGTAGATATCCTTGGTCACATTTAATGGAGAAGACGAAAAGGTTTTTGCAAAAAACTGGAGGACTTTATCCTGTGAAAACAGAATATGTTCATGACAGTGTTATTTTAGTATCATTAAGATATTAATTAATGTATCTCAATTAAGTTCCTTTTAGTAATTTAGTATTATGTTGTCATTTTATTAGTTATTTGTTTTTGTCTTTTAAAATTTTTATTTCAGTTTTAGTTTAATTATTTTAGTACATCAAATTAAACTTAATTAAAATGAGAAATGTTGCTTGGCAACTAGCTGACAGAAAATATGTCTAAAGGCTGGAATAAACTGCACGTCTTTTGCTCAGATTTTTGCTCATATTTTCATATTTACAAGTCGACAATAGTTGCAGAAAGTCTGCGTCATTCTGCAGATTTTGGGCATTTGGTGTTTGGTGTTCAGATTAGGATTCCATCCAGTTGAAGGATATCAAAACGTTTGATATTTTGAGCTGATTTTAGAATATATATTGTAGTGGTAGCTACTGAAACCAAAGCTGTCCTCTATCTACCAGTGTTGCATTAAAATACAACACAAATACAATAGCAATACAAAAGCAAATCAACAGAACACAAGTAACAAATTAGATTCAATATTTGACTTATCAGCTCAGATAAAACAACTGACCGCACCATTCACCTCTAACTCCCATTGTAATCTCATTACAACCACATTTACCCACCCAAGACCACATCCAAATGCGCTTGGCTAGGCCTAGGCCTGGTTTCACAAACAAGGCTTAGATTAAGCCAGGATAAGGCCTTAGTTCAATTAGTTCAAAAAACATCACTAGTGTGCATCTTGAGACAAAACATTGGCAATGACATATTTTAAGATTTGTCAGTGCAAGTTGCTTTCAGTTAAAACAGCTCAAATTTGCATTTTAGTCTGGGACTAGGCTTAAGACTAGAAATAAGTGTATTTGTTAAAGCCTAGTCTGTGAAACCGGCCACTAGTGTTTTCAAATCGGGTCAGACTTAAAATATTGTGTAGTGTATTCCAGCCCTAAGTTATTTATGTTTAATTTTATTTCAGTTCACATTTATTTTATTTCAAGTGATAAACATATTTTTTATGGATTTAATTAGCTATAATAACCCTGATTCTAAATATTTAATAAACTCCCACATACTGTGGGATTCAATACTAACACTGGAACAGGTCATGGCCTCCCGTTCCACATGAAACCACTTCTCTGGAAACTGCATGAAAATGTTGGACCTCATATTTCCACATTAAGCAGCAAGGGTTCAGTGTTTATTTAGCACTTAGCTCTTACGCTGAGCTCAGGGTCAGGGTCAGTGAGTGCAGCAGAGAGGTTTCGGCGCAGACCAGTCCAGCTTTCACAGCTCAAGACATCAGAGGGAGGGGCATAGCACAGAGACTGCAAAGCTTCCCAGCGAACCTGCAGTTAAACACATCAGGATGGCTGCTTCATGCTGACTCAAAACCACAGTTCTCTCCTTTCTATAATTGAAACAATGGCAAGTGGGTATATCAGAGAAGGAGCTTTCACCTCTCGTGGTCTACCGGGGTCAAGCTTCTCAGCGATGACTTGCAATTGTTCATGTTTGATAAATGCATAGCTCTACGTGAAGAAATCAAAGACATCAGTTAGTGATTCAGTCTATGGTATGAAAAGCTGAGATAAACACTGTGATATGCTATGTCAAAGAACACACTGGAGCCCCTGTAACTTATGTAAACTAATTCAACAACAACCTGATTGAATGAAGAGTCACTGTCAGAGCAGTTGTCAGTGTAATGGTTGCTTGACTGTTCATGTTGGATCTTCCTGTCCATTTCCTCTTTCTTAAGCTGATCTTCCTCAAATTTATTGATTAGTGATTCCACAACCACCATCATGGTCTGTTTCAGAGTCTGCATCATCTGTTTATACCTACAGATATATAAACAAATCACGTTGACATCATTTTCTATTCAAGTTTGTGAAATAACAGTACAGCAACAGAGTAGTATGTCTGAATACATAGTATTCGAAAAACACCTCTTATCTGTATATGATAAGAGGATCTTTATATGATAAGATCCTCTTATTATATAAAGAAACACATGGTAAGGGGAATTATAAAAACACGTACTGTGTGGACTCCCTAGTCCTCTTGGTAACAGAGTGAACCAGACTGTCCTGTCCGGACCCAATAGCATGACTATCACCCCTGGTAAAATTCTCAGTCTCTTCTTCAATAGCCGCTCCCAAACTGCTCTCCACATACTCCCGCAGATACTTCACAAACTCATAGCTAAAAACCAGAGGGAGGCCACAAAAACAGGTCAAACAAATAGTAATCACAATCAGGCTTAACAGGTACTGTAAAAGGTAGATCTCTCACTTGTGAAAGTTCTTGTCAGTTTCCTCCAAATGAAGCAAGATCTCTTCGGCACATTCTACCGATGGTGCTCCTGAGATTCTGTCTTTGACACTTTTCAGGAGCTCTCGCAGCAGGGTCTGGAGCTCTGCCTCATCCTCGCTGGAGAACTGAGACATCGCTCCTCGGGATGTGTGATCTCTTCTCTATGGGTGATCTCCTGCTTAGAGAAGCAAGGTGTTAAGTAAGGTGTGTCTGGCTTATAGTAACAGTAGTGGGAAGTAACTTACACAGTATATTCCCACAAAGTTTAGATTCATGGAATGCTTTTAAAACAGTGACGTTATGTATGCTGGATACTTGTTGCCTGCTTTTCCTCAGTAAGTTATCTGGCCTAACTCATTAAACAATAAAACAAACAAGTAATTTGCCCAATTTCAAAATCATGAGAAACAAAGATTCATGTCAAGTGTGCCTAAATCAGTAACATTTAAATACAGTAACGTTAACGTTAAATACACTCTGTATAGAGGGCTAACTTAAGCTAAAAATACGAAATATAGATACATTATTAATAACATGTACGCTACCCTACATCGGAGTAATAACGTTACATTACAGACTAGCTATATGTCATTAAATATTAAAACTGAGAAGAATTCAAGAATCAGAATTCAAGTGTTGGCATAAGCTTCAGCCTATATTTTCTCCTTAACACGTTAACAGTAACTTATACAGCTCGAGTAGTTCTAACGTTAAACATTACCTTCAATAACTTGGGCCAAACAGATGAGTTACATCGCTTCCATAACATTAGAAATCATCCATAATCGGACGCTCAGAGATGTAACGTTATATTTTCAGCTTAGCATCCGTTAGCACTACTCGTTTCTATGGAAACAAGCACAGATGAGATGAAGCACCCGCAATAAGCGCTTACAAAACACTTGTCATATGCAAAAAGACGCTTCACGGCACAACCGTGTGAATATATTGCGTATCTATCAATATTTAAGACAGCGAATATTACTAATTAAGACGATGAAACCAAATAAATAAGAAGAAATGTGATGTTTTCATGTGTTCGGCGCTGACTGAAGACGCCAGTGATGATCACGTGATGGGAGTATATCACGTGACTTTTAAATGTTCCGGGTTTCCTGATACACACATGATGATGTTACAAGACTGAAGAGGAGAATCTGGTGAAATAGGGCTTGTATTAACAAACATAGTCAGGCTCGTTAAGTGCAGACTAAATCATTGAATATAAAAGCTTATTCTTTTTCCTTTGGCAGCTAATTTCGAGTGAACAGTTGTAGAGATTTCAGCTTATAATGGCCGCTGTTGACAGCTTCCAGCTTTTGTATAGAGAAATTGCCAGATCATGCAACTGTTATGTGGAAACGCTGGCGCTCGTGGGTGCGTGTTACACAGCCTGCAAGGCTGTTATATTTATGAGAGACTGCTATAGTTTGATAAGGGTTCATTTTATTCCTCGTCTTGTGTGCCATAGAGATCTTAGTCAGCAATATGGAGAATGGGCGGTCATATGTGGTAGGTTTCATCTAATCTATGCATTGAACCTTGATTTGTGTAATAATACTGCATAATATGAGAGCTTCTTTCCGACACGGAATGAAAAATAAATAAATATATGTTTAAAAGTTTATTGCGACTTTTTATCTTACAGTTCTCTGTAAGTTTATCTCAAGTTGAACAATTCTCTCAATTTTGATTAAACAGTCAGAATTATGAGATATAATCACAATTGTGAAGACAAAAGTCAGAATTGTGAGATCAATGAAATATTATTTATCTTTTTTTTAATTCAGTGGCATAAACAACAACAAAAAAACAAATTTTGCTTGATGTAAACTCAGTGTACGTTTACACGACAACAATGCACTAAAAACAGAAAAGTATTTGTCCCCATTCAAACAGATCCGCAAAAACGACTAAAAACTCTTGTCAGGCCAGTAGTTAGCGATGACACTTTGTAAAGAAACACTACACGTCTATAGACTGAACATTTCGATGAGCATGATGTCATCGTTTTCACAGATTCCTGTTTTTGTAGGCCACATTTACATATCGCCGGGTATTTAGAGAAACGAATATTCCCGATTCCGAATATCCGATACCCGCATAAATCCGCCTTTGAGAGCTATCATAGCTATGCCAAACTGGGCACATGACGTTAAGCATTTTCTGGCGCATAATGTGATGTTTGAAAACCTAAAACCTCATTTCTCCCAGTTGACACGGCAACATATAACCGGCATTATCAGAAATCGTTTTCTGTGATAAAAACGGGGTTTTCGTGTAAATGAGAGGCCAAACCGCAGGGAAATATCTGCAACTTCCCTTCATGTAAACAGTGCAGTAGTTACACAGGGACAATAGCGTTGTTGTTGTTTTCAAAAACTTGCACCCCCAAACTTGCACTAAAACTTGCTATTTTCATCTAAATGATCAGCCAAAATGCATAAAAAAGTTTTTTTAAAAAGTCCGAATTGCTATGTGAAATCACAATTGCGAGTTTATAAGTAAGAATTATGTGAATAACAGTCAGAAATGTGAGATATAAACTATCAATTGCAAGAAAAAAAGTCCGAAACATAAGATAAAAATACGCAATTAGCCTACCTTTTTTATTACCTAATTCCATATTGGAAAGAAGCTTTAATAGCATATTGATATTTTACAGATAATTTCCTAACTTACATGGACAACTTTTTCATAGGAGCTTCAGAGGAAATAGCAAAAGCATATGCAGAGGAACTGGCCAGGCATGGCATCTCTGTGATTCTGATCAGTAATGACATCCGTAATTTGGCTGACACCGCCAAAGCCATCTCAGACGCTCACGGGGTAGAAGCCATTTGGATTGAAGCTGATTTCAGTCAGGGATCCACGGCCTGCAGACCTATAAGAGATGCCATCGCTGGTAAAGATATTGGATTCATCATTAACAGTCTGGACGGGTCTCTGGACACCTCTCAAGACTTTACGGACCTCTCTGAATCTGCAGTGTGGGACACTATTAATAGAAATGTAGTAGCTGCCACTCTTGTCACCCGCCTGGCACTGCCTGCAATGGTGGAGAGGGGAAAAGGAGCAGTGGTCAACATTTCTGCTGGGCGCTGCTTTTGTCCGACTCCTAGAAAGGCTCCTCTCTCAGCATCCACGGTCAGATTGTCTGTTTGTGTACCAATTTTCCATCCAAATATATGCCTTTTACTTTGTCTTATGATTCAGGTGCTTTCAATTCCCCACAGGCCTTTTTCGACAACTTCAGTCGCTCTCTACACTATGAATATGGTAATCGAGGAGTCTTCGTGCAGAGTTTGCTGCCTTTTAGAGTTGCATCTCAAAGATCTGAGGGTAAAGGTTCTGCTGGCTGGCTGGTGCCAAGCCCAGAAGTGTATGCCAGGAATGCTCTTTTAACTCTGGGCATCTCTCACAGAACCACAGGATACTGGCCTCACACCATACAGGTACATTTTAAGTCACTGTAGTGAGTTTCCTCTTTTAGGGAACGTGCATTATATTTAGTGTTTCTTTGCTTTTCTGTTTCACTTTTTCTCTAGTTTGGACTGGTGCAGTGCATGCCAGAGTGGATATGGATTCTGGGATCACGTGTGTTCACAAGGGCCACCTGACAGGGATGTTTCCCCTCCATGTGAAAGACCTGGTTTTCAAATGGATGTTGCAGAGTTTACTTTGACCAATCTTAAAACAAAGTGTGATTAAAGAGTTGAAACTTAAAATCAACTACTGTTACTTTAACCCCTCCTACTGATTTGTAAAATAAATGCCTCAGATAATATCTGTTTGCAAAAAAAAAAAAAAAAAAAAAAAGGTGGGATCATGATGACAATTCTATTATGTAATTGCATTATTGCTTATTGGCTTTCACCCAAAAATGAAAATGTTGTCATCATTTACTCACCCTCATGTTGTTCCAAACCTGTATGACTTTCTTTCTTTGGTTTAACAAAAAAGAAGATATTTTGAAGGATGTTGGTAACCACACAGTTAACAGCACCCATTGACCTCGATTTTTTTTTTTTGCCTAGTATGGAAGTCAATGGGTGCCATCAACTGTGGGAACAACTTGTGGGTGAGTAAATTCTGACACAATTTGTGGGTGAACTATCCTTTTAAAAAATCCACTCCTTGTGCATTTTGCAAAGCTCATAGTAATATATTTAGAAAAAAAAGTTTTGTAAATTATTTATTTATTTTTATTCCAAATGTTTTTGAGTATACTGGCTATACTCTGCGTTGATATATCTTCATTGTACCATTGTGTAGCCAGTGTTTGGTTATTGCAGTGTTTCTCATTTTGCAACAGTGAAATTATCAATAAATATCCTCAATGTCTATAAAAAGTATTATTTTATTTTATTAATTTTGTGGACGTTTAGTAAAAGACTGTTTGATTTTAAATGTTCAAAATTAAATTGATATATTTTCTACATTGTATAAACTCAGTCATGCTGACACAGTATTATCTCTGAATGAGTTGATAAGGTCATATGTTGTGTCTGACAAGAACACATAATGCACATTACTCTCTTAATCTCACTTGCATTAACACTAACAGAAGTACAAAACCATTCCATACTTTAGATGTTTTTTTTTTTCTCTCAACACTGCACCCTCCAGTGTACCTACATAGCAAATGATTTTCAAATACAAATCGTCTAGCTTTTAGCAATGCTTATATAATTTTGTACGATTTAGATATTATTTATGTAACTATTTTACCCATAGTCCATTACGCATGTATCATTTTAGTTTATTAATTATTATGCACTTAGTTTAAATAAATATAAACATAAAAAGGTAATATAAATACACTTTAGAATCATAAATAAAACTTAAATGTTCAAATCTCTTCACAAATTTTACTTGCACCGATATAAGTTTTAGTTGTCCTCTTTCATAGATCTTTTCTTATTGCTTGTAAATTTGTTTAAATTCTTAATATTGTTAAGAATATTTTCGTAATATTCTGCAGAAGAGAAAAGTGAATCGCAGTTTTACTGTTCCACAGCATGTGATAGGCTGTTGGCTACTGATGTCACACCTAAACAAATCCTGTAAGTGTAACTCTGAGTTTGTTTAAATGCCATCATGGTACGGGCCCCTGATTGAAAACAATTGGTTTGCTATTCGGACCGCAGTTGTGCAGAAATAACCTCATTATTAAGGGTTATACAACAGGGCCCAGACAGTATAATACATAAATAAAGGGAAATTTAATGTTATGGCGTATAATCTTGCATGAGAAACACAACTGTTATTCTGGCTAAATGTTCCAATTCCAGATGTCAAGGCTGAAATTTGGAATACACACAGATAATGTAACAATCTTTGTTTTGGTTTAAAAGCTGCCTCTTTGATAGTAAGTGGATGGCTTTGAGAAATCCTGTTACACACATCTCCCTCGAGTCCTCACTGAGCGAGTGAGCCTTCTTCTCAGTCTTCATAAATTTGGTAAGTGAAAAGAGTAATTTTTTGTGTTTATCGATCAATGTGATTTATATGCTTGTTTAGGAATTTCTAAAATATTTCTAAAATATTTTTATTTAAAAAAAATGCCGTTCTTTTGAACTTTCTATTCATCGAAGAATCGCGAAAAAAGTATCTCGGTTTCCACAAAAATTAAAACTGTTTTCGACATGGATGATAATAATAATAATGTTTTACGAGCAGCAAATCAGCATATTAGAATGATTTCTGAAGATGTGACACTGAAAACTGGACTGGTAAAAAAAATTCAGCTTTTCCGTCACAGAAATAAATGACATATTTCAGTAAAATAAAGCCTCTAAATAATGCATATGTAATGTGATCTATAATGTAAGTGTTATGTTATATCCCAGAGCAGACGAATATTGAAAATGTCATTCTATGATTACAAAAAAGCATCAAGCTTAGTTGAAGATGTATTCCCATTGTCATTATCAATGTTTTGGGGTTTTCAGGGCAAAAACCTTGGTTCCTGTGAATGTTTTGTAAAAGAACCTGGTGTGTCTCCTGACCTGACAATCCCATCAACAGTGCTAGCATAAAATTTGAGTAATAAAATGATGGGTATTTGTGCACATCAATTGCTGCACTGTAAATTGATTTAACTTAAAAAAGTAAGTAACCTGGTTGCCTTAAAATTTTAAGTTGATTGAAGGAGATTGATATATTCATCATAAACTCCAAATAATAAGTTATCTCAACTAAATAAATTATTTAAGTTGATTTGACAAAAGAAAAAATGTTGTGATAACAAATCTTGAAAATATTTTTTTACAGTGTGCCGAACATGCTCTGTCCAATTAATAATGTTTTTTTTCTTTCAGGAATTCGATTGCAAATAAAAATGGGTGAGTGGGACTTCCTAGGAAGACTGCTGGATAGAGTCCAGACACACTCAACGGTGGTGGGGAAAATCTGGCTCACCGTCCTGTTTGTGTTTAGGATTCTAGTCCTCGGTGCTGGGGCAGAGAGAGTGTGGGGCGACGAGCAGTCGGACTTCATCTGCAACACCGAGCAGCCGGGGTGCGAAAATGTGTGCTACGACCACGCGTTCCCCATCTCGCATATCCGCTTCTGGGTACTGCAGATCATCTCTGTGTCCACACCTACTCTGGCCTACCTGGGCCACGTCGTCCACGTCATCCACGTCGAGAAGAAAGTGAGAAAAATGATGAAGAAAGAGCATCAGAATGAGCAAATCAGTCTGTTCCTCAAGAAAGGCTACAAATTTCCCAAGTACAGCAGGGACAATGGGAAGGTCAACATTCGGGGGCGTCTCTTGAGAAGCTACATTCTGAGCTTGCTGTGTAAGATACTTCTGGAGGTGGGTTTCATCTTGGGCCAGTACTATCTTTATGGCTTCACCCTTCAGGCCCAATATGTCTGTGCCCGTTTTCCGTGTCCTCACAAGGTGGACTGCTTCTTATCGAGGCCCACTGAGAAAAGCATCTTCATTTGGTTCATGCTGGTGGTGGCCTGTGTCTCTTTACTCCTGAATGTGATTGAGATCCTATATCTGTGCGTCAAGAAGATCAACGAGTGTCTCAGCCGTAGAAAGGACTACACCATCGCCTCCGTGACCCCGGTTGTGAACAGGAAGGAAATCAAAAATACAGATCAGATCCAGAACTGGGTGAACTGTGAGCTTCAGAGGAGGGAACTTGGCAATGAGGCAACCAAGAGCGTGGTTTCAGAGGACCATAGTGCTGATATGCAAGAGGTCCATATCTGATCAGCAGGCCTCTGTACACAAAGTCTTTCACACGGTCAACGTGAGCAAACATTCACTGATCCAACTAACTCGTGCATGGTCAAGACCCCACAACTCCAAGCACACAATGACCCTCTCTCTCTGTTTAACAAATCAATAATGTGTATTGCTGACATTTCTGTTTTCGTTCTTCTGTTATTTCAGTCTGAAATTGTACTTTGTAGAAAGGTTAAATAAACTGTGTTTTGGGGTTTCAGTTATTTTTGTTGTGTTTATTTCAGGGTCAGTAAGATTTATTAAAATTGTGCTCAGGCTGAACTTTATTGTCCATTTTATTTGTCAGAGTCTTTGACACTGCATGGTGACAAACGCAGAATTAACTAAATGTGCAATTAAACAGTTCCCATCATTAAAAAAAAAACACTATAATGCCAGCCATTCTATTTTATTACTTTAGAAAATAGTAGCCTACGATTTAAGATAATCACTGCCACAAGGACAAATGATTTTTTTTTATACACGTTTCTCCTGGCCAAAGTAATGTTTTGAGTCTACGCCCAGATAGGAGCATTTCAAAAGAAGAATGAAGGGGGTGAGTATGATCTTGTTCCACAAAACAATGAAATAAGCCCTGAAGTGGGTGTTGTTTGTGTCTAGTGATTTAATTAATTATTTGTGAAAGTTTGTTCTTCTGTTTAACTGTTAAGATTACCGTAACAATAATTGTACCATTCGAGACCTCAAGTTTTTCCAATTTTTCATTATATATACAGTATGTCTTATATTTAATAATACTAATCATTCATTATATGTGTGTGTATATATATATAAATAATATATATATATATATATATATATATATATATATATATATATACTGTATGTATACACACATATAATGAATGATTAGTATTATTAAATGTAAGACATAATATAAGTTGTGTGGGTCAGACACTTAAGTGTGGTAGCCTATGTCATTGTTAGAGCCTTTCAATCATTAATGTGACACTCCTGTGTATCAGCATTCAAAATCTAGTTCTTTTCATTGCTTACCGTTGGACAACGTTACGTGACAGTAGGACACTTTCAGCTATTACGCAATCTTAGTAAAGCCCAAAAATCAAGGTTCAACTATTCTCGACTATCACTTGGTATGCGGCTCAGTTTCTATTAGGAAGAGGTGCAACTCTCTAAAGGTACGTGTGAAATCAATATTACATTATTTGTATGCTTCTGTTCATACATTGTTTCAGGTCACAAATATAAAAGATATTCGCCTTGTGGTGAAAAAATAATATTTAAGAATAAATTGTGTTATATTCCGACTGTCAGGCAAAGTGCTTATTACTAATATCTAATTAATTATCTTAGTAATTGTCTTTACCTTAAATACATATTATGTTTTAAGAGAATCATCGTAACATCTATTAAATCAATATTTGCATATTTTATATTTACCAGTATCCACAGATGCTTATTCAATGAATAAGATTCAGAATGATCAAGTTGTTTCCTGTGAACACCATTGTACATTTTGAATCAATATTTCTTATTCATTGTTTTGCCTGCACCATATGTTAATGTATTAAAATTATGAATGCATTTCATTTGGTTTCAATGGCTTTTGAGCATACAAAAATGTGAATACCTCTCATAATATTTAATTTATGTCTGCCTGTATATTTTAGCTATCCTGTAACTTATGGTATATGTATTCTAGGTATATGGATGGATGGTTACTTTTTAATTTTAAGTGCTATGGCATTATGTTTTATTGTCGTTTTTTAATTGCTGTGTGATTTAACGTGCCTAATATAACATCTTGCCAATGGACTACAGTTACAGAAATGTTAATTAATGTGCACTGTCCTAAAATAAATAAATAAATAAATGAAATGAAATTCTTCTCATTTTGCTTTTCTACATGTGCAAATCTAAGCACAATAACTAAACTTGTTATTAATTATTAAGTATATTAATAGTATGCCATTAATGAAGCCTCATTTAAAGGCTTATTGATTAAGTTCAACTAAAGTGGACTTTGTCATTCATCTGTTTTTCTTTTTTTGTAGGAAAGTCAGAGCATCAGCAAACATGGGAGACTGGGGATTTCTCTCAGCGTTATTAGACAAAGTGCAGTCTCACTCCACCGTCATCGGCAAAATATGGATGAGCGTCCTCTTCATCTTCAGGATCCTGGTGCTGGGAGCGGCGGCGGAGAGCGTGTGGGGTGACGAACAGTCTAGTTTGGTTTGCAACACGTTGCAACCCGGTTGCGAGAACGTGTGTTACGACTGGCAGTTCCCCATCTCGCACATCCGCTTCTGGGTCATGCAGATCCTATTTGTGTCCACTCCAACTTTGGTGTACCTCGGCCATGTGGTGCAGGTCATTCACCAAGAGAAAAAACTCAGGGAGAAGATAAAAAGCCTTGGCGAGGGCCACAGGTTGAAGTTACCCAAATACACAGATGAAAGTGGCCATGTCACGATTAAAGGAAACCTGCTCGGCAGTTATCTGACCCAGCTGTTTTTTAAAATCATCCTCGAGACCGCGTTCATCGTTGGACAGTATTATTTATACGGCTTTATTATGATCGCCAAGTTTACATGTTCCCAATCTCCTTGTCCTTACACCGTAGAATGTTTCATGTCCCGTCCCACAGAGAAGACTATCTTTATCATCTTTATGCTAGTGGTGGCCTGTGTGTCTCTGTTACTGAATGTCATAGAGGTGTTTTACCTGCTGTTCACCCGGGTGGGATGCAAGAAACGCTCGCATCACATCACTTCGCCAAGAAACCCCGCCAGTTTGCCATCTTCCTGGCAGATGACCTCGGAAGACGCTCTGAGGCAGAACAAAATGAACAAGCAGTATGAGAGCGGTCAGAGTCTTGGAGGAAGCCTGGATGGGGCGAAAGAAGAGAAAAAATTGATGGAAGACCATTAGATTTGGACTTTTGTGTCTCAGAAATGTAGCAAATCTGCCAAGTTTTAAGAGAAACATCTTTTCCAAAGCTCTTAACTGATTGTCCAGTATTTTACACACTTGAGAATATAACCTTAATATATACTTGTGAAACAAAGTATATTGGTATGGTATAGAACTCTATTAAATGGATTGTGTTATTTAATTATTTTATGATTATTCTGTGCATAATACATGTTTGGATAGTTTTGATATACTATGGTAAAAAATGCTTACTGTTGTTATTTGATTGTATATAATGTGTGTAAATATTTCAAAGAGTCAGTAGAGACTTAAGCACTAATGTCCACATGTCTTGTCTGATGTTGTCATTTCCATTGGCCACATTTTACGTTACAAAACAGACAGCAGAAAGACAATGTCCTTGTTTAAAATAAAACTTTTAAAACAACCAAAGTTTCTTATTTCATGATATATATATAATCCAGTTTAAAACCACTTAAAAGCACATAATGAATGCAGTTTCATGAAGTGGCAAATGGTTTATTTAAAAAGCATTATAACACTGTAAAAAAAAATATTGTTGGTTTAACTTAAAAAATGAAGTAACCTGGTTGCCTTAAAATTTTAAGTTAATTGAAATGGAAAAATTGAGTTAATACAATAAAGGAGATTGATTTAATCATCAGAAACTCAAAATATGATGTTATCTGAACCACATAAATGATTTAAGTTGATTTGACAAAATAAAAATTATAGACAATATTTTTTTTTTTCAGAGTAATAAATAAATAATCAGAAAATACATCTAATCACAAATCAGTCTGGCTTAATTGGTAATATCTTATTCATCATATTAATTATTCATATTATTAATTGTTCTTTACCCTAAAAAACATGTTTTAACCTTTAAAAGCATACCTCGGGTCTTTAGGGACACCAATCACTAATCAATCATTTCAAAAAGTTAGACATCAACCTACTTAGTATTCCTTCAATTAATTAATTATAAATGATATAACAAGAAACTAATATATAAAATTATAAAAGTTTCCTTTTTTTGTAAAATTGTATAGGGTCACTAACAACCTGATGTGTGTACTAAACACACGTCCTAACCTGATGTGAGGACTAAAAGAAATCAATTATTAGTGTCACTGTCACTTGATGGTGGATCTGGTGAAGAAGTGTTTAAAATATTGATTTTGAAGATGCTGAAAATGATAGTTTTGAGAATATGTTTAAGATCGCGAATATGAGCCAGATACTGAATGTACTGGGAAATGAGTTCTGATGAGGACGGCGATGATGGTATAAAACTTCAGCTCAAACTGAACCCTTCCAAGCTGCAAAAAGTAACAAAATATGCTTTATTTAATTCTTCTGTAATTTGTTACTCAAATCAGGAGAGTTGTATATTATCGTGTGATCCATGCGTGATAGATATCCGCGTTGCTAAAGAACCCAACATATAATTGGCGAGATATTCGTGCATTTAAGGGTAAATGCTTTAAAGACACAGAGATTTATTTTAACATGTATTTAATTTAAAATCAATAATTGCATATTTTATATGTGCATTATTGTTTATTCAAGGAATATGATTCAGAATTATCAAGTAGTTTCCTGTGATCCAGTAACGAAAAATTAAAACATTTAAACAAATAAAGTATCAACATTTTTTACCCGCACAATATGTTAAAATATTAAAATGATTAATGCATTTTATATAGTTTTAAATTATTTAAATTGGATTACTTTATGATATTTAAATGTAATTAATTTTTGCTCCACTCTTCCTCTGCATTTTGCAAGTTGCATTTGTATTATCTTAATGTTGATGTATGTTGTTCTCGCATATCTCAAATATGGCCACGCTGCTGATTTTTATCACTGTTCTTATTACTGATTTGCATAGAATAACAACCGCTCAGATGATGAAAACCTTAAACCACTAAACCTCAAGGATTCATTATGTAATAAAAGCTCCTTCTGTGGTGGATGCCAAGATCATTTTTATTCCGCTTTCGTGGTGAAAAATTAAAAAGTGGTTTTACTTCCCAGTATTAGTTGTGTTCAGAAATTCCTACCATGTTATGAATCACACTGATAGCAAATCAATACCTTGCCAAACCTGTGTGAATTGCATAGCACAAATACCCATGTGTATTTATGGGAGTATGAGTATGTGAAAATACAAAGGTGTATAGATATTGTTGCATGTGTATGTACTTATCCTCGAATCCAACATGATTAATAATTAACTTTGAGCTCATTTTTTTTTCTGTTATCCCAATGGAACTTTAATCAGACGTCAAGAGGAATGAGACATCCCAAAGGGAAAAAAAAGGAAAAAAAATTGTGAAATCAGGTGCACTGAAGTTCAATCTTTACACCTAACACATGACATTTAAACATTGAGCAATAGAGTCAATCAGCACAGGACTGAGACGCAAGTTGTCACAGGTAAAAATGTACGTTTTCCGTATTTTACATTTTTGTATGGTTCTATTTGCTATTTTATACGTGATATTATGTATTGTTCTAAACACAAAACTTACTATAATCTAATAATGTTATTTTGTACTGCTATTCGGACGGATTTTGGTGATTTCTGATTGTTAAACATTCACTGTTTCGAACTGAATGCTAGATGGGAAAAGTCAGTCATTCACATTGTTAAAACATTGTTGAGTATCTTTGGCTTTACTAATTAGTTACATATTTCCTTTTTGTCATTAATCCACAAATGTAATTACTTAAAAGCCTTATGTCTTTAGGACATAAATACAGACATCAATCAATGTTGTGTATTGGTTTTGTCATCTGAAGTTCAACTCATAATTCCTTAAGTAAATGTTTTTATGTTCAATTCAAATTCATATTTTTAAATTATATTTTGTTTTTAACAGATTTTAACACTGCACCTTGGACGTTCTTATCTTCTGAACATTGAATTGTTGCCACTGCAGTCAACAAAGGTAATGTGGTTAGGTGTCTTTCTTTTTTTTTATACATAATTGTTGTTTACTCACTCTCTAATAATCATACTCTTTTGCCGGAACGTATGCAGATATGTCGTGTTGACATTATTGATGTAAGCAAGCATTGTTTTTTAGTAATATAAGTCATGCGATGTGTATTCAGCATTATCATTGATTAATGACTACAATTATTTTACATATGGAAACCATGCAGGGAGACGACCTTTTGTTTTGAATACTTGAAACACATAGATAAAATAATAATAGTAATAAAATGCACTGTGACTATGAAAACTTTAAGTGGAGTACACTTTGAATTTTGAAAGCAAGTTAAATTTTTCCACATAAAAAATATATAAAACAATTTTGTGTGTGTGTGTGTGTATATATATATATATATATATAGAATTTGTACATTTTTCTTTGTTTTCTAGGCACAATACTTTTTCACAGCTGTAAATAATATATTAATGTGTATTAATGCATTATTTTAACATCAATGAATAATGACGAAAATGTTAACTCTGTTCTCCCACAAAGGTAGTATAGTGTTGGAGTTTTGGAATAAAGCCCATAAATTAGATTTTGTTTCTCTCTCTCTCTCTCTCTCTCTCTCTCTCTCTCTCTCTCTCTCTCTCTCTCTCTTTTGGATTAGCAGCTGCTCTATGAGCCACGTAATGATACTTCTAAAATGTACTTATGTGTGTTCACTGAAAAATAATAGCAAATGGGTTTTGAAAGACATGATGTTAAGTAAAAAATGAGACTGTTTTCAGCATTTTAGGCAGATCAAAACCACTGAAAAATGCTGTCTTTCTCCCCTAGTCTTCCAGGTAGAGACACTAGAGGCACAAGCATGGGAGAGTGGGGCTTTCTCTCCAAGCTGCTGGACAAAGTGCAGTCTCACTCCACTGTTGTTGGGAAGGTGTGGCTCACTGTCCTCTTTGTCTTCAGGATCATGGTTCTCGGGGCCGGGGCCGAAAAGGTGTGGAGCGATGAACAATCAAAAATGATCTGCAACACTAAGCAGCCGGGTTGTACGAACGTGTGCTACGATTACACTTTTCCAATCTCCCACGTTCGCTTCTGGGTGCTTCAGATCATCTTTGTGTCCACGCCAACGCTTCTATACTTCGGCCACGTTCTTCATGTCCTCCACAAAGAAAAGAAACTGAAGCAGAAGATTGAAAGCCATGCTGAAATGCAAGGCATCAAGCAACTCAAATACACCGACGATCGTGGCAAAGTTATAATCAGGGGCCAATTGTTAGGTAGTTACCTAGCCAGCCTGTTTGTTAAGATCTTGCTGGAGGCTGCGTTTATTGTAGGCCAGTATTATATTTACGGTTTCATAATGATCCCTAAGATAGAATGCTCCCAATCGCCTTGCCCTCATACGGTTGAGTGTTACATGTCTCGTCCCACAGAGAAAACCATCTTTATCATCTTTATGCTGGTGGTGGCGTGTATCTCTTTACTTCTGAACGTGATTGAGATGTTCTACCTGATATGCCGCAGGTCAAAGAGACATCGTGGCACACAGATCTCTACGTTCTCCAAAGATTTAAATGGATCCAAGGTGCACATCACAGGAACTTCAAAGTCGAGCAAAACCTAAGGGTGAAAAGATCGGTGTTGTAATGTTGTACATAGATAAATGAGTCTTAAAATTAATGGCATTTTGTGATCAATTTGTTTTGCACAGTTTTTGTTTTGCTGTGAAATGAGTGTATTTAATGTTTGCTCTAGAATGAATGTTGGTGCATGATATTTAAGGTAATTTTATATCTAACCTTTGTTAAGGTAATGACTTATTCTATGATCTATCACTATCTCGTTTTATTACATTTTTGTGATGCTCTACTTGGTATGACAACAAAATTGTCATAAACTGACTTAGATAATAGTTTATGTAACAAACTGCAGTTTCATCATTTTCTAAATACTTTCTTCTCTCCCCATTTGGTTAAAGCAAACCAAGTGGAACTATGAGAGGAACCAGTCAAATGTGGAAAATAAAAACTGTGAAAAATGTAACAAGACAATGTTTTTTCTCATTAAATTAAAGTATTGCTCAGCTAAATATGTGTGGGAAGATATTGGGAAATGTTAGAGTTTCATTAATTCAGAAAAGAATGAAAGGGATAGTTTACCCATTTTTTTAATTATTTTTTGTCATTTACTCGCCCTCGTGCTGTTCAAAACCTGTATGTTATTTTAAAGAATGTTGAACACCAGTTGACGGTACCTATAGCTAGTAGCCCACTAGTGGGCCTGTTTTTTATGAAAGTTAATGGCTACCGTGTTTGGTTACCAATATCTTCTTTTGTTGTCAACAGAAGAAAGAAACTCATAGGCTATGGGTCTAAAACAACTTGAGGATGATTAAATAATAACAAAAGTTTCTTTTTTGGTTGAACTATCCCTTTAAAGGAGCATCCAACAACCTAGCATAATTTAGCTAACGTTACTCACCCAAGTGTTGTTCCAAACCTTCACGACTCCAAAAATAACAAAAAAGCACGACAAAGATATCATAGAAGTAGCCCATATGTCTCACGTGCAGCTAATTGCAATTGGACTGTGCGCATATTTCACGTTTTTTTTTTTTTTTTATCTCACTCACGGACATTTCCGTTTCTGGCGTCAACTTGGTTGTTTCATGTCTTTTTATTTGCCTTACATCTCCTTTAAGAGAACCTTGCAGTGTTGAGACATTTTATTTTGGGGTGAACTATGTGAATCTTAATGAGAATACGTGAAGCACATAGGCTACATAAAAAATAAATAAATACAATGATGTAGCTAGTAAAAACGCATGTGGAGTATCCTGTTAAATTGTGTGGTGATCTCAAGCAAGTTTCTTATTTTTATTTAATTTTTTTTATTAAAGTTTTTATTAAAATAAAACTGCAAAAAAAAAATATAGCTGCGAGCAGCGATGGCGGGCCCAAGCCGGTGGCACCGCAACCCCGGTTCCTTTAGTTACCTAAATGCACCCGGGTGGCGGTGCCGAAGGCTTTGGCCCTTTTATGATTAAATGTTAAAACGGCTTGCCATACTCTGTCATTTCGACTAGTCACAATTATGTTACAGATATCTTAAATGATAATACAAACTATCCAAAATGTAATTACGAATAGACAGAAAGACGTTGTTGATATCTACAATGTTAATTCCGGACAGGCAAACTTAGCTTTTAAATGTTAAAAGGGCTTGCCATACAGGGACGTAGGCTCAGAGAGAGGCTCACCATATTCAAACCAAAATATCTGACTTCCTCTTGGTCCGAGCTAATGACTATGTATTAGAAAGTTGTCCGGCTTGAGGAGTACAATGTATATAGCGATTTTTGTAACTGTAGATAAAACTAACAACCCCACTTTTGTCAAAAGGTGGCGCTATTTAGTCCTTGCACTATGCCCGTTTCTGAAACTTTGCACATGTCTACTGGCTAATAAATGTGATGTATCTGTTGAGTTTCAAGCAATTTCAATTTCAATTTCAATTTGACTGTTGAAAAGAAGTGCGCCGATTAGATACTCAGGATCGGTATCGGCTCTGACACTGCCATCTTTGACGAGGCTGATTCAAATTCTATATTGTGCATATATACTATTCTATGTTAGGCACAAAGGCACAAAAACTTTCTAAAGTACCATAAAGTTTTTGTGTACTGTATTATTAGTGTTCTGAAGCTATTATGTGATATAGAAATTAATATTTAAGTCATTAAATTCAAGAACACAAACTTTTCCCTCTCTGCGCCTGTCAGTCATTCTCCATTCAGCATTCAAACAGCACGTCACATTCGGTTACAGTCAATGATGAAACGATCTTCAAGATGATTGAATGTTAATCCTATTATACTGGATCTTTAAGATAAAGGTCTAAAGGTCTATATTTTCGAATGAAGAAACTTTTTCTTGCTGGACTGTAACTTAACCGTGTTACTTTCTACCGGGTGTCGGACGCTGTCGGTTAGATCACAACACTAGAGTCAGAGCACTATAATTGTTCTTCACGCACACAGTAACTGAAATTTAAAACCTTTAAAAGAAAAGGCTCAATAAACTATTGCATAGATAGATAATGTATAATACACTGTTCATAAATATGTATTTCCTTTGTGCTTTGAACTTTTCAATACGGACTCACTGCGCTGTAACTTCATGTGGCTTCAAGCACATCATTCTCCGCTCGGGATGCACATAAGTGCTTTGTGCTGCACCGTATTGGAGCCGTAATATCATAATGCAGTGACGTAATGACAGATTATTAATTGCCTTTCAATTATATGTTGCTGCGTCATTAAACATCTGTCCTATGCATTTCAAACATTTATAGCAGCCATGGCTATATTTTTTTATGATTTTTGTTATCTTGTTTTTCATGAATGTATTTTTCAAAAATAAGAGCAATGTGTATTATCTATTATTAATATGGTTTATAATAGCATTTTTGTCATAGATTATGACAAAGTAATCATATGATCCACCAGCGAGGAACCAGCAGAACAGAGTGAACATTCTTTCTGTTTAGTTCAATCCTACTTAATAGGAATTTATTTAAAATGCTCGCTCTACTCCACACCATTAATGTCTTGTGCGGACATCCGTATTTCGACTTTCGGTTTTAAGTAAGCGATTTAAAAGCTCCCAAGTCCCAGCGGAGTCACACGTTGATTAACCGGTGGGAATATACACAATAGGCCTACCTGATATTGAACACAAGAGGGCAGTATAGCACTACGTATGACTCAGATTATTATTTTTTTATGAATTTTACAACAATTCTGGCTGTTTTTGAACGTAAACATAATTCTTAAATGAAAAAAGGAAAAATTGGGGAAGTTATAATATTTGTATAATTTAATTTAGAAACAAATGATGTATAATTACATTTTTAGAAGATATGAGGCTTTTAGTGTTTACTTTTTTGACATTACTTTAATCTTTTGCCATAGTTGCACATGTCTACTGGCTAATAAATGTGATGTATCTGTTGAGTTTCAAGCAATTTCAAGCATGCTAAGAGTCCCAAAAGCATCAAAAAAGAATGTTAAAGTTTGATTCGTTGCCACGGCAACAGTATCAAAGATATCAAAAATTCATTCACAGGTCTACATCTGCCGTGTATTTACATTATACAGATGAAGTTTGAAGCAAATCGGTTAAAAATAAGAGAGTGGTTTCAAAGCATTTTGAAAGTGACACACTTCCTGCTGCCAGTTGGTGGCGCTATAATTTTGACTCACAATAGTCACATCCATGTGATCGGTCTCTTACAGCGAAAACACTGCTGAAGTTTCATCAAGATCAGTTAATGTATGCTGAAGTTATAACACACATCCTGTTTCATGTTTTTCGCCATAATTTTGTTTCCTCGCCACGGCCAAACCGTTCGAGATATAAAATATCCCTTGGCACCTTTTCATCCTTAATGTCTTGACTTCACGCTGATCGAGTTTTGTCGAATTTGGTTCAGTGCTCTAGGAGCAATACTTTAAATTCCATTGCATGTGTTTTAAACACAACCCTAAATAGCCGTCTTCCTGTTGGGCTGGGGTAAAAAGTAAGAGTGTGAAGTAGGCTATATATGAAACGATGAGATCTATATGTGTACCAAGTTTCATATTATTACATGCAAGTGTGTTTGATTTATGGACCAAATTTTCAGACCAAGTTTATTGACCAAGTTAATCTGATTAATAAACTAATTATATAAAACTATTGTCAATGCACTACAATTAAACTAGTTATATGTCTTTACTTATAAAAAACAAAAATAAAAACTTATTTAAAAAATACCAGGCTTGAGAAATGTATTTTCTTTATGCAGGTCATACACACAGCAGTGAAATGGTTAAGCCCCCTCCCCCTGCACACACACACACACAGGCACACACACACACACAGACAGCCAAAGACAGCCAAAGACAGCCAAAGACACAGAGACATGTAGGCTCAGAGTGACCATATTCAAACAAAAATATCTGAGTTTCTGTGGGTCCTAGCTAATAAGTGTAAATTAGAAAGTTGTCCGGCTCGAGGAGTACAATATACATACCAATTTTTGTAACTCTAGTTAAAACTAACAACCCCACTTTTGTCAAAAGGTGGCGCTACTGAGCCCTCACCACGCCCGTTTCTGAAACTTTGCACATGTCTACTGGCTAATAAATGTGATGTGTCTGTCGAGTTTCATGCATTTTGAAGCATGCTAAGGGTCTCAAAAGCATCCTAAAAGCATCCTAAAAGAAGGGTAAAGTTTGATGGGTCGCCACGGCAACAGTTTCAAAGATATCAAGAATCCATTCACAGGTCTACATCTGCCGTATGTTTACATTATACATATGAAGTTTGAAGCAAATCGGGTAAAAATAAAAGGGTGATATCAAAGCATTTTGAAAGTGACACACTTCCTGCTGCCAGTTGGTGGCGCTATAACTTTGACTCACAATAGTCACATCCATGTGATCGTCCTCTTACAGCGAACACACTGCTGAAGTTTTATCAAGATCGGTTGATGTGTGCTGAAGTTATGATACACTTCCTGTTTCACGTTTCTCGCCATGATTTTGTTTCCTCGCCACGGCCAAACCGTTCGAGATATCAAAAATCCCCTCGCAAACTTTCATCCTCAATGTCTTGACTTCACGCTGACCGAGTTTCGTCGAATTTGGATCAAAGCTCTAGGAGGAGTATTAAAAATTCCATTGCGAGTGTTTTACGAACAACCCTAAATAGCCGACTTCCTGTTGGGCTGGGGTAAAAAGTAAAAGCACGAGGTATAGATGAAACGATGAGATCAACATGTGTACCGAGTTTCATATTATTACATGCAAGCGTGTTTGATTTATGGACCAAGTGTTCGGACCCCGTTCCAGGGGGCGCTGTCTAGCCCCCCTGCCACGCCCGGGTACCATCTTCAGCCCGGCCCTGATGGCCGCGGGTTCTGACCCGTGTGCAAAGTTTCAAGAGTTTTTGAGCATGTTAAGGGCCCCAAAAGTGCCCGAATAGTCGTATAAATAATAATAATAATAATAATCGTTAGGAAAACAATAGGGCCTTCGCCCTTTCAGGGCTTGGGCCCTAAAAATGTTGTTTCATGCATTTGTATCTCCTGATTTTCAAATGCACTGATGATTTGTGCTCTTCACACGCCACCCTGTGATGAAAAGACATAATAGCAATGCGAATCAAACATTTTTCTAGTCAACATTGGACAATATCACTCGTAATATTTATAAATAGGCTAACCATTCATCTTGCATCTCATAAACAACACTCTATGTATCCTGTTGTTTTTGTGTGTATTTTTATTTGCACATATGACATATTCACAATTATTGTGTTCATAATAGTCCCTGAATTGTGTGTTAAGCTACTGTTAAAATAGGCCATTGTTAATAATAATTAAATTGTTTTCTTCCATTAGCTACCAAGTGAGCAATTACGTATAAAACAGATACAATGTACATAAAGTGATTTTTAAAAAGTGGGAGAGAGCACAGAACATGTGAATCTTTAATCTTAGAATAGAACAGGAAATGGGTCTATAAGGGAAATATGATGACATGTCAGACTGTTTAATTTAGCAAAATGTCTTAGTAAGGGTTAAGTTCTCCATTTCAACCACTGCAGGTGGCCTCATCTTGTGCTGCCTCCTACGACCCATCAGATAGAATATTTCTCCTAGATTCAAAACCAAAGACACACACGCCACAACAAGCATGAAGATAATGAAGATGCTCTTTTCAGTTGGGCGGGATGTATAACAATGCAAGCCGGTTTTAGGGCAAGGGTATTCATTACATTCTAGCTGTGTGGGCATCCAAAGCCCAATTAAATAATACTGGCCTACAATGAACCCTGCTTCAAACAATATAGTCACAAAGAGACTCAGCATATAGCAACGAAGCAGGCTTCCTTTGTAATAAATCTTCCCGTTGTCATCGGTGTATTTGGGTAGTTTGACATCAGTTTTCTCCAGCTGGTTTTGTAAATGCTGTCTCAGTTTGTTTTCTTTGTGGATGACTTGAAGAATGTAGCCAAGGTAGACCAGTTTGGGCAAGGCCACAAAGATGATTTGGAGCGTCCAGAATCGCATATGGGAAATGGGGAAGGCGTCGTTGTAGCATTCATTCAAGCAACCAGGAGTTTTGATGTTGCAGACCATATTGGACTGTTCATCTCCCCAGACTTTATCCAGTCCAGCCCCAAGCACCATTATTCTGAAGATCAGCAGAACCGTCAGCCAAATCTTCCCAATACTGGTTGATTGAGACTGTACTTTGTCTAAAAGTTTAGAGAGGAATCCCCAGTCTCCCATGTTGATCTGCAAATGAGAAGACTTCTGAGGTAAACTACAACATGGGAGAATAGGAATTACATGAACATATGACAACTCTGAACAAATAATACTTAGACTTTATTTCTATTATTTTTAACTAAATGGTATTTTAGTTATCACTGTCGCTTTTAGTGTTGTAGTCATTTCCCCTCAAGTTTATAAATGTCATTTAAAATAATTAAATTGTAAAATTGACGAAAGAAAAAACAAAACAAATGTATAGGTTTTTCTTAGGGCTGTCAAACGATTAATCGTGATTAATCGCATCCAAAAATAAAAGTTTGTGTTTACATAATATATTTGGGTGCTCTGTGTATAATTATTTAGTATATATAAATGTGATTAATCATGATTAATCGTTTGACAGCCCTAGTTTTTCTATAATATACAGGAGAGTTGGTAAAACATCAACATTAAAATATGCAGCCTATATCAGCAATAATAAAACATGTTGTATTAAATAAAAAAACAATAATTTTAATCATCAGTTAATGTTAGAGTGCAAAGTAATTCCATTTCCAAGGTTACTAACCTTATTTTTATGATGACAGGTCCTGTAACTCTTATTGTGTGCTGGCGAAATGATGATATCAGACGTTTCAAGATCTGATCTTCAACAAGTTTTGTCATTTTTGTAAGTGTATAGTGCCCACCCACAAATAAAAAAAAAAGTACAACAAAGCACGTACACATACATAATCACACACTCTCAGATAAATCCAATCTTTACATTGTCCAGCTTTGCCTCAAGATGTTGCAAGAAAAAAAATGAGTCATGATCATGAGAAATGTGATGAAACTGTCGTTTCCATAGACGGCATTTTCCCGAAATCACAAAAGCACAAACACAATGCTAAAAGGAATGGTCTGACTGTTTGGATTTCATACATTTTTTTGCTAAAATTTCTTATCCAAAGCATTGAATATGCAGACCAAAGGTCATGATCATAGCAATATGTTATGCTATGTTATATTTGTACAAATATGGGTTTATACAATATAGTGTTTTGATATTATTTTAGATAACATTTTTTATATTAATTTTAATATCAATGTCTGACCGTGGTACAAAGGCCAATTAATACAAGAATTTATTAAAAGAAAAGCATCTGCAATGAAACATAAAACAGCAAATATGTAAATATGTTAGCATGCATGTTTGAACTTTGTTCAGCTCTCTTGTATAGTTTCACCGCAACTATTCTCCACAGAAACCATGGGAGAACAATTGGCAAACATTACTTTTACTTGTGGTTCTGTGAAGTCTACATCGCAGACAGAATGGTTGTTCTCAGAGCCGGGCAGTATGGAGTATATTTACTTACAATTTTGAGGGATCTGTACTTTACTTGAGTATCATTTTTGGGGAGTACTCATGACTTGATCATGTACTCATGACTCATACTCAAATACATTTGAGAGGGAAATATTGTACTCTTTACTCCACTCCATTTCTATCCATAACCGTGAGTACTCGCAACGCTTTCTCATCCCAGGGCGTCATATAGGTGACGCTTTTGAAATTGCGTCTAAATCCGACGCACATTGCACCCTTTCGCGTCAATATAACACGTTTCGGTTATGGGTAGGTTTAGGTCTGGGGTAGTGTTAGGGTTAGACCACTAGGAGGCGCCTTCTGGCATATCTCCGTTTCATATTGAAGCTAAAGACGCAATTTCAAAAGCGTCACCATATAAGAAAAATCTCGGAAACCCTCAATTTGTTGTTTCCCTCTCAAACATGATTTGATTGTGCAGGCGCCACTGACTGGGACAGCCTATCAGCAATCACATTCAGCTTTCCACCAAAGTCAACTCCATGGTCAGATTTAGATAAGAGACGAAACCATGGACGAAACCATGAAGACGCAACAGGTCCATGTCCATCCATAGGAGGAAGTGAAAAAGATAAATAGCAGATTTCTTTCGTCTCAGGGGAAAATGAGAGAGTGTTGCACGACCATTCAATAGTATAACTGGGTTTCTAACAATGGAAAGCTTAATGCAAATGGGTGGAGTGTCCCTTTAAGTAAGAATCGTAAAGTAGATTATCTCACAATTCAGAGATGAGCACAGCTTTCCATGATCAAATGTCTATATAAAACAACAGACATTTTAGGAAGCAAAACTTCTTTACTTCTGTTTTCTTTTTATCCTTATGTAATTTCTGGTCTTCTCACATTCATTATCATTTTGGGTTTTTAGTTGATCTATCACTGCAAGATTACTTTTCTACCAGGACAAGACAATATTAATTTTGATCACTTTCTTCGATCAAAATCTATGGTGAGGTTTCGCAGGTCTTGAGTGTAAAATGTCTTTGTTATTGATTATCAGTTCAAATGTTTGCTGTCCCTCATTTGCCCCCATTTTTGGAACTCAGTCACGTAGGACACGAAAACTGTCCGTGTCCGTGTCCATGTTTAACAAGAAGAGATTACTCAAGTTCATTGTCAGCATGCCTGTCCGCAGATCTCTCTCCCACAATTACACATAATTAAAAAATTCAAATCCTTGAGAAATAAAACTCCTTTTTATGAGATTACACAAGGCTTACTTGAAAATAAACTGTCAGGTGTTAAAGGTTGTTAGGGTCAATCTGTGATTCATACAGAGAATTATCTATCTATCTATCTATCTATCTATCTATCTATCTATCTATCTATCTATCTATCTATCTATCTATCTATCTATCTATCTATCTGTCTTCATTTTATGCGTTCAAATTGGGATTCATTTTTTATAAAAGTTTGTTTCAGATTATAGGGAATTAAGATATGGCAAGAGTTTTTCAACAACAAAGAAGTTTTAAATCTTGGGTTGACTTTTATTAAAACTAAGCTTTTTCCTATTATATAAAGGTTATTTTTAAACCTATATGACTTTACTATAAATACATAAACTTTAAACCAGCATCCATCATAAAATAATATTCCATAAAAACTAAAATTGTCTTAACAAAGAGTGAAATAATCATGTTTAAATTTCCGGTGTGTGGAAAACAACATACATTTTTACACAAATATGTAAAAAAAAAAAACAACAACAAAAACGGGTAAATGACCATTCCTCAGTTGTGATGCCTTTCAATCACATCTATCAATTATTGCAGCAGTTGTCTTAAAAGTCAATGTACTTATTTACCGAGGAGATAACATTGTGAAGAGCTTGATATTAAGGTATGTTTTTGTGTGTGTGTGTGTGTGCAAGTTTTCATCAAGCTTTATTAATTTATGCAAAATTAATAAAGCAGCACTATGCAGTTTTTTTTTTTACCTTAACTGAATAGCTTTGGAGTTATTGCAATGGTTATATGACTATTATCGGGTTGAATGTTGGACGTCTCCCATTCATTAAGCTGAAACTTGTGTCCTTTCTTATAGGGACAATCAGTGGTTAAGTTAAAAAAAACACAGCAGTGAGTGTCATATCTTATAACGGCAACCTTACCAGCCCTGATCTTTAGCCACTAAACACCCACCACCATCACATAGATGTTGCTTCCACTTCGTGATATGATCAAGGCTGATGATTCAGACAAATTTCACTCATTTGTGAAAGTGTGATGCAAGACACTTTGACTACTTATAACAAGAACAGAAATAAAGAAGTGAAAGATGACTGGTTAAAACTGGTTTTCTTTATCATAGAGTTGGGTGGAGCTTTCAGTGTTCCTTCAGATATAGGTAAATCACATGTCACGGGTATGAGATTAATGACTGAATCCTGTCTGAGAGTGACCACATCGGAAGCGACCGATATTTCATAAAAATACAGATGTTTTATTGTAGAGTAGTCTTTAAATCTCAACGAGCGGAATAAGGAAATAAATTTATTTAAAATACAAACTTGTGAGTGATTTTTTTATGATCATTATCTGTTGCTTTACGGTAAATTACCATTTGGATTCTTCATTCAGGTAAGAATTTTTTGGGATTTGTTGGAGTCTGATTTTAACAGTTACATAATACAGTGTATTATTTTAATATCATATATATATATATATATATATATTTAAATAATTAACAAGATATTTATTGGTAACTATTTGGACCCACTTTATATTAGGTGTCTTTAACTAACATTTTAACATCATTTGAGGGCTACATGTAGGCTACATGCTACATACACTGTAAACTTTTTAATTATGCTCAATAAGTAATGACAACGTATGTTTTTACTCATCAAAATAAGTCAAGCAATTTTCAACTCTTTTTATAAGTTTAAGTTATACAAAAATCAACTAATTTAAGTCAGTTTAATGTAATTTAAGTTGAAATGACTTAAACATCCAGGTTGACTGTACTTAGGCAGCAACTTTTTACAGTGATTGTACTTTAATTATTATGATTGCCAGCATGCAGTTACATCTGTAATTAATTTCTGTAATTACATCAATTACACTGTTGTAATTATACATGTTACAACAGTAATTACCTCTATAATTTCCGAAATTAGCAGAAGTGTTTTGCTACAGCATGTTGTACTTATTTTTATTTTATTTTTTGCTGCAAGTACATAGTAGTCAAAGACACCCAATATTAAGTGTTAAATATATTTTGAATATACATTCATAAAACATTTCTAATATATATATATATATATATATATATATATTTTAATTCGGCCCCCCATCTTATCTGTATGAATTCTTACAGAAAACATTCTAGATACATGATTAGGAAATAACTTTCCCTCAAAGGATTCAGATTGGTTTCAAATACCACAAAAACTTGTCTTCTTGATTGTCTCAAAAACTGTATGATTTTATGTGTCTACAGGTTGGTGAGCTTACAAGGCACCAAGTTTTTTCTTCCCCATATAATTTGGCGAGTATGACATGTCTTATAAGGGATAAGATGCAAATGCTTTAAAGAAACAGGAAAGCTTTCTGGGAAGTGAGAACAAGCAAAACGGCCAATGTGTTCAATCTGAAGTCAAATCTCAGTCACTGTTGTTCTCTTTACATTGTTTCAGTGTTAATAAAAAAAGACATTTCACTCTGCCAACCTTCAGTTCATATTTGTAATGATCACCATGTATTCCTACTATATATATATATATATAAAAGAATTGTTTATAATTTAATGTAAATCTCCAATCTATCCTCCAGGGAAGCCCTGAGCAACCAATCATGGGAGACTGGGGATTTCTCTCAGCTTTACTGGACAAAGTGCAGTCCCACTCCACCGTCATCGGCAAGATATGGATGGTCGTCCTCTTCATCTTCAGGATCCTGGTGTTGGGAACGGCGGTGGAGAGCGTTTGGGGTGACGAGAGATCCAGCTTAGTATGCAACACCAACACGCCCGGTTGCGAGAACGTATGTTATGACTGGAAGTTCCCCATCTCGCATATTCGCTTCTGGGTCATGCAGATCATCTTCATTTCCACTCCGACTTTGCTGTACCTGGGCCACGTGGTACACGTCATCCACCAAGAGAACAAATTGAGAGACGAGCTGAAAAAGAACCCGATGTCCAAGAAGCCAAAATATACAGACCCTAACGGGAAGGTTGCAATCAAAGGAAACCTGCTGTGTAGCTACTTGACCCAGCTGTTTGCAAAGATCCTTTTAGAGGTGGCTTTCATCATTGGACAGTATTATCTGTTTGGATTTATCATGGATCACACGTTCTACTGTAAGATTCCGCCCTGTACGATGATGACAGAGTGTATCATGTCTAGACCCACAGAGAAAACCATCTTCATTATCTTCATGCTGGTGGTGGCTTGTTTGTCTGTGGCCTTAAATATTCTAGAAATATTCTATTTGCTTGTTAAGATGATACATAGGAGGAATAAGAGATCTAAGAATGTAATGTACGCTGGTGAAACCCATTATCCTTCAGCTTTTATGGTAGAAGCCAGTGCTGTTAATGGAATGAGACACAATGAGTTAAACATGGCCTTTCAGAACAGGTGCACTCAAAGAAAGGGCAGTCTTGAAGGAGCCACATGTGATCTATAAGGCAAGTCCTTGTGTCATTCTAGCACATATTTCTGGTAAAATACATATAGCAAATATAATCAAGAAATATTAATATGATATATTATGATCAAACTTAGCCTATGAACAATATTGTTAATTGTAACTTTTGCTAACTGAACACTAGATGGCGCTGTAACCTTCTTGAGTTGCACTCACAAACTCCTTACTTCTGTCACTAAGGCCAGTGATTTTTTTGTCATTTTTTTCTACAGCCTTTTTAAATTATATTTTTACTTTAACCAAGTTTTTTTATTCACCAAGAATAAATGTGATATAAATATGTACATGAAAACGACTGTTTTAATTATTGTCTTATAAAGACGGGGATCGATATTGAGCTATTAAATTATGCTATACATATAGGCTCATTATCAAAAATGTTCTACCATTCTGATTTACAGTTCACTTAGGCTATGTACAATGAAAACGTTCTTATAATACATGACTGTTGGTGATTTGTTAAATTCTCGTCAATTTCATAACGTTTTCGAGAGAAATATGTGTTCGTCTGACTCTGAGTTGAAGCCCATCAAGCGAAAGAGTGTATGAGGAGGACCCAACAAATGACGTAGCAGTCATGTGACTTCGCCAAACTTTGTGCGTCTGCTTTCCACTTTCTTCCCTCCGAGTCTCTTATAAGCAGGGAAAGTTTGACAAGTGTGCCTCAGTTTCTCCATAGTCGCTTACTTGGATTTGGTGACTGGTCTTCAGAGGTGACGGAGTAAGTCCCTACAGGGCTCTCCTCTCTTTACTTCTAGGTAAGTTTTTACAGAAAGTCTTTCAACTTTTCAAAACTTTTTTTTTCCATAGCAGCACTAATATTTATAACTGAGCATCATAGTGGAAAGTTACTTTAAAATAATTAATTTAAATCATTTTAAAAGGGTTTTGTCCTATTTGATTTGATTTTGAAAAACTTTTCAGTGAGTTTAGAAGTTTATGAAACGATATGAATCGCCATAATGATATAATATTATAATCATATATGGTTCATTATTATAGCCTATAATATTTTAATTTAGTTTAGTATTTATTCACGTCTGTTGTGGAGGTCATGTCTGGTAGAAACAAGACATTTAATAGATATTTCAGTAATTAAAACAAAAATGAAATAATAGAAACTTCAAAAACTTTGTGTCTGGAATAAAGTTTTGAAGAAAAATGTAAGCAGGAATAAAATACATTAATTTAATAGGAACACATTATAAAAGCTATTTCTCTTATTGAATAAATAGAAAACAACTTTTATTTTTTCCTGCCTTTGTTTTTTAACAACTCTAATACGACTTTCTGGTGAAAAACTGTCCGTTTCGCTTGCGTCGTCAACAAACTGTAGAGGGCGCTCTTCCGTCCCGTATTACAATGTTAAAAATATAATTCACCCAAAAATGAAAACTCAGTCATAATTTACTCACCCTCAAGTTGTTCCAAACCTGTATGAATTTCTTTCTCCTGCTGAACACAAAAGAAGACATTCTGAAGAATGTCAGGCTATAACATTTGACGGGCCCCATTGACTTCCATAGAATGGATGAAGATAAAAAAAAAAATTATTATAAATAATTCATACAGGTTTGGAACAACTCAAGAGTTGGTAAATAATGACAGAATTTACATTTTGGTGAGCTATCCCTTTAAATATACCTTCTGTAGCAAAACTTAAACCTGTAATTCTCAAGCATTCCTTCATGTCAATTTTATATAAACAGTTCTTATACTAGCCTATATACTTTACTATATACTCAAAGAATGCTACATTACAGAGAGACAAGCCTACTTATTGGTTGTCTAAACGACAAAAATTCTTGTTGTCTCTTATAAATGTTAACACTGTAATTGTCGTAATATACATTCCACACACCCCATTTAAACTTTATTAGTGCCACGAGACCCACAAATTGTCCAGGATATTGAAGAGATGCTCTTCATCATGTCTGCACCACAAGAAATTCTTTAGAACTCCTTAAACAGTTCCTTATGATATTTGATTTTCCATGCTGCACAGGGGAATTAATCAAAGACTTGCTTCCCAACTCAAGTCAGATTTTAAGTGAATGTTATTGTTTGCATTTAAACATGGCTGATGTAACCAACATCTTGTTAAATATACACGTGTCTTTAAATTCCCCAGTCAGTCTTGTCTTAGTCGTGTTAAAGAGTCATTTAAGATGGTCATGGTAGCATCAGCTTGAGAACTTTGATTTCACAAAGTATTAGACAGCAAGTGCTGGCAGTTATCTTTCCAACCCTAAACCTAACCCCTACGTGTGCGCGAGCCACATGTTTGTTATGTGAGCTTTCTGAGACCAGGTGTAGTTTATATTATGATAATCTTGAGGTCAGTTTTCATGCTTATTTTCATAATAACATCCTCAGCAGGTGCTGAAACTAACACTTTCATCATGTGCTTTATGTGCAGAAAAAATACACTACAGTGGCCTCACAAAAAAAAAAAAAAAGCATTTGGACTCACTTCAAAATGTACGAATGTCTTTGCATTACATAACAACTTCTAAAAGCAGGTGACTATCCAAATGTGCCACTACTATATAAATATAAATTTGTTATAACAGGTATGAGCTTGAGGGGAACTGACTTCACACATTCACTAAAATGATGGACCGTTTGTTTAAAAATAATGGGAAAAAAAATTCAGAGATGTCACTTTGATATTTTGCATCTAACACAAAGACATTGGGACGTATTCGAGTTGTCACCGAAGCGTCCGAAACTGTCCGAATGCGTTTTATTACATCTGAGCTTTTCTATTTTCAGCTAGAACTCCCTCAAGATGGGTGACTGGAGTGCGTTGGGAAGACTCCTTGACAAGGTGCAGACCTACTCCACGGCCGGAGGGAAGGTCTGGCTCTCTGTGCTCTTCATCTTCCGGATCCTAGTTCTGGGAACAGCGGTGGAGTCGGCCTGGGGTGACGAGCAGTCGGCTTTCAAGTGCAACACCCAGCAGCCCGGTTGCGAGAACGTCTGCTATGACAAATCGTTCCCCATCTCGCACGTGCGCTTCTGGGTGCTTCAGATCATCTTCGTGTCCACGCCTACGCTCCTGTACCTGGCGCACGTGTTCTACCTGATGCGCAAGGAGGCCAAGCTCAACCTCAAAGAGGAGGTGTTGAAGGCCGTGCAGAACGACGGCGGCGACGTCGAGGTCCACCTGAAGAAGATCGAGCACAAGAAGTTCAAGCACGGCCTAGAGGAGCACGGCAAGGTGAAGATGAAAGGCGCCCTGCTGCGCACCTACATCATCACCATCATTTTCAAGTCCGTCTTCGAGGTGGGCTTCCTGGTCATCCAGTGGTACCTCTACGGCATCACCCTGTCGGCCGTGTACACGTGCGAGCGCTCGCCCTGCCCCCATCGGGTGGACTGCTTCCTCTCTCGGCCCACGGAGAAGACCATCTTCATCATCTTCATGCTGGTGGTTTCGCTCGTCTCGCTTTTGCTCAACATCATAGAGCTTTTCTACGTGCTCTTCAAACGGATCAAGGACCGCGTGAAAGGCCAACAGAACCAGTACAACACCGGCACCATGAGCCCTACACCGAAGGAGCTGTCCACTACCAAGTACGCCTACTACAACGGCTGCTCCTCGCCGACCGCGCCGCTCTCGCCCATGTCGCCCCCGGGCTATAAACTAGCCACCGGCGAGCGGACCAACTCTTGTCGCAATTACAACAAGCAGGCCAACGAGCAGAACTGGGCCAACTACAGCGCGGAACAGAACCGCTTGGGCCAGACCGGAAGCACCATCTCCAATTCGCACGCTCAGGCCTTCGACTTTCCCGACGACACGCACGAGCACAAGAAACTGACGCCGGGCCACGAGCTGCAGCCGCTGGCGTTGATAGACGCCCGGCCGTGCAGCCGCGCCAGCAGCCGCATGAGCAGTCGAGCGAGACCCGACGACCTGGACGTCTAGCCGCGCGACTCGGTGCCGACCGACGCTAAAAGACTTGACGCGGGCGGCGAGACGCGTTCAACTCCTGTGCTGAGGGGGGCGGGATTTCATCCGCACTCTAGACTCTAGTCGATACAGAGACATAAAATTACTCACACTGCTGGAGGTACTATTCATTAATAATGACGTTGAAACTAGCAGAGCTAACATGCCCTAACAACCCAACCCAACCCAACAGCTGTACGGGGGCACAAGTAGCCGGGGCGCCTCTCGATTCTGTCCGCCAGAATATGCCTTGGTGATGTGATTGATTTTGTTAGCTTGTTCGTATTGGGTTTATTAAAATGCCACACGATGATTCCACTTTAACACGTTGCACTCCTACAGTACGTGTAGATTTGCGTTCTAACCCCCCCTCCCCCGCCCCACGGTTAAACGTCACCCGTTATCAAATCCCCGTTGTACAACAGGGTGTTAATATTTATTTATTCATAAAAATTAACAGGATATCCACCACTAGATTAAGATTGACTACTACTCAAGGTCATGTCTACATAATTAATACCATCCAAGTGCATATTTATTGACAATAATCCAAATTTCAGCAATACGTTCATCAGCAAATCCTTTTTTTTTTTTTTTTTTGTTATTATTAATCACAGTGGACTGTCATTTTCCTGATAAACTTTGAATTTATGTGGTGTCGGTTTTTTTGTTATTTGATGATATTTGTTGTTTTTTGGGTGGTGGTATGCATTGAAAATGTCTGTGTGGACTGAGCTGCTGCACCAACTGGTACAGCAGCTTGATTTTCTTTTCCGCATTTTTACTGAAATTGTCCTAATTAGTGTGTGAGAGAAAGGTTTAACTTTTGTTCTCTTTTTTTCTCTTGTCATTTTTTTTTTTCTTTGTGGAGGGCAGACGGAATGAATTAGTTTTGAATTAGAATGAGTAGAATTAATGTCTTACCTTTGGAGTGAATGACCTTTTTAACTCAATGTAATCATTGCTGCTTGAGAGATAGCTGAGTTTTAGTACTGTAAATCAAGCTAACTATGTCACAAATGTGAGGTTTTTTTTTTAGAAGACTGCTTTTTTTAGAGCTGGACTAATATTTAGTCAGTTATATTAAGAGATATATGCCAGCGTAGCTCCACAACTACCAAACACTAGTAGATGACATTTCATTATGGACATTCTTTGTTTTGATTTTTCAAATTGTGCATCATAGTATTGGTACTCATTTGCAGAGGCTCATGGATTTTTCAGCTACAATGGTGTTTGCACTGAGATTTTGGCTAGGGTGTTATTTGATGCAAAAGTGACGAGAAGTTCTCTGTTATGCACGTAACTAATTTATTTTACAACACACTACGAGGCGTAAAATCACTACACTTTAACAGTGCTCTCACATAATCCTTGGGTTTGGGCCGTTGAGTGGCTAAAGGCGAGATTTTGCATCTGGTAAATAGCACATATTGGGTTTTAAATCAGAACAACACTGATGTAATGCCATTCCATGGGAATCCGCTGTCGTACAGTGTGCGTGACAGTGGAAAAACCGAGCAATCAAACAAAAACGGACATTAATCAAATCTGTGAAAAAGCAATTTAACCAATAAAGATTTTTTCTTTGTCATTTTGTATTTGTGTGTCTCAGTCAAACTCTTTTATATGACAACACTATATACACTTTTTTGTTTACACCCAACGAGAGGCACACGATGAAATGCAAGAAAGAAGTGCAATTTGTCTGGTGCCAGTATCTAAGGGAGTCTGGTGCAGGCTTTTTATCCAAGAGAATTAGCCCTACACAAACCACCGTGTTTAAACAGGCAGTGTGACGGCCAAGATCCGTCTACACCAAGACCGACTCGCAAAACTGAAAGACTGATACGTTTTTACATGTATGTTTTAAAATGCCCCAGAAACTTTCAAAATTTCATCATATAAAAAGATTCAGAGCCTTTTCTCTTATCCAAGTTTCCTATTTAACCTTTCCACAAAGCTAAATAAAACCATATGCCTGGGCCGAGTCTGTGGACCACATGTGGCTAGAGCAGAAGAACGTAAAAAAAAAGCAGCAGACTTTGATCTAATGCTAATTAATGCAGATCTTTTTAGACCAGATTTATCACACAATACCGTTGCATATACCAGAGGCCGAATTGATCAATTTTGCAGTTATCCATCAGAACGAGATAAAAGAAAGAAATCAGCTGGTGCAAAAGTAAATAAAACAGGCCTTGAAGCCCAGTGTCTTCGCATACACATTTCAAAACTTTGGGGTCTGTAAGGGCTTTGTAAAATTTTGTAAAATTATTGTAAAATTATATTTTGTAAAAAAATATTGTACAATTATATTTTGTAATTTACTCCTGTGATTACAAAATATAATTTTACAATATTGATATTTTTTTACTGTATTTTTAATTCTTTTATTTAAAAAAATGCATTTTTTTTTCTCTTGAACTTTCTATACAGCAAAGAATCCTGAAAAATAAAATGCATATTTTTACAAAAATATTAAGTTGCACACTGAAAACTTTTGTAAAAATATACATTTTATTTTTCAGGATTCTTTGCTGTATAGAAAGTTCAAGAGAACAGCCTTTTTTTGTCTTTAACATTGTAAATAGGGATGCACCGATACCCCTTTTTCCAGAATGAGGCCGATACCTCTATTTTCTTTTCCTTCAGTTATTTTTATGCTTAATTTTGCCTGTTAAAATATACTGAACAAACTCACTGTTCATTCTATTGCTCTGTCATATTTTGTCTTTCACATGCAGTATCAGGCCTGATACCGATATCAGAGCATCCCTAATTATAAATGTCTTTAACATCACCATTTATCAATTTAATGAATCCTTGTAGTATTGATTTCTTTCAGAAAAAAAAGTCTTGCTGTCCCCGAACTTTTGAATGGTATTTTCAATGTCAATACTTTATGCTAAGTCACTATTCATACCACAAAATATGTCAGCAAGGAAACAGAATGTACGTCAGAGAAACCACTCGAGGGATGGGTAAACATGTCTGAGGTACAGTTTATTTTGTAGAGAAAGATGGGGACGTCAGTAAAGAGTCACCTTAAACGCATATAGGTTCTGCCCACACTCTACTGGAAACCTCAGTGTGTGAGTTACATTTCCTGTGCCCATACTGCCACCCACACCACAACTCCTGGGTGGTGCTGGGAATCCATGTTAAAGCTGCTAAGTTTGACTAAAAATGTCCAATGGACGTTTTATTATGACGTCGCCCATGTTTGATTAAACAGCTGCTTTGCTTCTCTCATAATCTTATATTGGACACCCGCCTGACCTTATTTTTTTAACGACACGTCTTTCACAATCTGATAAACCATTTCCCCCTCTCTATCCATGTTGAGTAAGTTTGCAACAAATGTCCTGGGAGGTTTTATTCCCAATTTCAGAAAGGATTGATTCTGTGACGGTCATCTTCCTGACCAAATTGTTTATCAAATCTCTGAATTTATCGCTCTCCTGCTGCTACATGGAAGCGGTTCCAAGTGTAGGTACATGAGAACATCACGTGCGATTCCCGCAAACGGTCCGACTCTTCCTGGAGCTCAGCTAGAGCGGTGGAATGCCGACTATCAAGCACGCGGGGTGTGAAAAACATGCAATGCTTTGTAGATGGTCAACACACACGGACTGACCGCTTTGCACCTCCAGGCACTGTGTGGATATCATGCACAGTCATGCTTCCTGAGAGATCTGCCCATTCCCTGCTGTTTATATAAGCATAAGCAAAGCAAAACAATAGGATGCTTCCAATTTTACAATGGCGAGAGCTGCCAATCCCAAATGGTGTCTCAGTTTTCCGTGCGGTTAGAAATTGGATTCGTCCTCATCGCATTTTTCTTTGAAATTTTCCACTGCTGGATGGTCTGGGACTGCTGAGAGAAAAGCTGTGGTTTTATTAAACATGGAAGAGCAGCTCCCAAACATGTCTAATACGCTGAAGAACACGCACAGAGTCAGAGGAACTCAGCACTAATAGACTCTCTCTGTCAGCAAGAGGATTTAGCTTTCTCTTCCTCTCATTTCTCACCATATCATCACCTGACACTGTCAGTCTCAGTCTCACCTCATTTATTGCCTTGTTTTAGTCCCTTGCTGTTTATTCGAAGGGAGTTCATGTTGTCTGTAGGCCATATGAGCTCCTCCCTGCTAGGTTAGGCCTCTGCGGCACCAACGGGAAGTCTGCAGGAAGACCCGAGGCATGTGACCCCAGGCTTCGCCAATTCCTTCCGCGGAAAACAACGCAAAGTATTAACGCCCGCAATTTTGCCTGGAGTTTCTGATAAGCAAGCGCTACATCAAAAAGGCCTATCATTTTAATTGTCCTTTCACTCCAATTCCAATTATGTTCAAAAGTTTGCTAAAGTATCTAAATCGTGTGACTTGTTGAGGGGAGATGTTCTATTACTGTTCTAAGCTTTTAGAATTTCAAATTCCAAATGGCAATAAAACGTCTGGAAAAAAAGGATTGACCTCGCACTGAAGGAGTGACCAGAATAACTTTTGACTTTTGAGTTTGCAACACCCTAGCAACTACCGCCTGACACTCAAAACCTTAGCAACCACATAGCAATGCCCTGGCAATGACCTATAGAACACCTTAGTACAAAGCAATGCCCTGCAAACATTATTAAAAGCAGTCTCCTAGACATTCAAAGTATGATAGAATGAGTTCACAGGCTCACTATTGCTCCCTTAATAGCACAGACAGAGGACGAGACACAGAGACTGACTCAAAACACAGACGGAAACTCAAAATACGGACACAGGAAATGAGCACAAGCACTAAACATCAGGCTCAGGGAAGAGCAAAAAAAAAAAAAAAAGAAGATATTTAGCTGATATCAAGAACAGAGCACAACTTCAGAGAGCAGACAGATGCGCACTGGAATGCATGCAAATTAAATGAGGCAGATGAAGAGAATTATAGGAGGAATGAAGTGCAAATCCAGAACATGAGCAGCAAAACCCAACAACAATATTGCATGACGTATGCACACATGCAGCAAACTCTGTGCCTGGTCGGGGTGAATCAGCAAAGCCCTCGATACAGCATCTCTTTTTTAAGGAACATGAGGTTCTACCATATGTCACTGTTGGAGCAGGATGTTGACCATGTGGGATGCATTATACGCCGGTCCTGCCACTGTCCACCCAGCGCCACCTTTGTTTTGATAGCACTAGCTCTTTGGCTCCCCTCGTCCAAGTGTCAAGGCCGTAAAATCTTTAATGTGGCCGGATCCCGCGCGTCTCAAAGAGAGACTTTAAACTTCACTGGGACTCTGTAAGATACCTCTAATTGAGGTGGATGGGGTTTGGAGAGTATAGGGCACGCTGGGTCCATACCAAAGCTAAAATTACGAGACTTGTCATCGGTTACGGAGAGGTCAGGAGAGAAGAAAGTATGCAGCCCACATCCAAAGTCAATAGCGGGTTGACTGGCATAGGCAAAATATTTCCATGCTTCACCCCGAAACGGCGCTCTGCGTTTTTTTTCCCCCTCACTTCCACACCGGCTCTCACTTACGGCAAAACGTCCAATATGTCGACTGTGATCATTACTCTAAATTTAGCCAGATCCACCCCGGTTTTCCACTGAGAGGTCCAAATCGGGAAAATCAAGCCAGGAGTATTCTAAAAATGGGGAATAAGATATATTTCATTCGCCTGACTGTAACCAGCATCTATTCAAGGAATGCAGCAGTCTGAATCACTTTCAGCACTGCTCTTCTGGCAATATGCATTTGCAATAGCTATAATTTTAAAGGGCTGCTTAAACAGCTGCTAAGCGAGAAAGATTATTGATAATTCAATTTCTGCAGCTAAATATATATATTTTTTTTTTAGCTTTTGAGCTCTAACAGAAAAACTTGAGCCACTGTTTATCTTTGTTCTATTGTACTTTATTTATCTATGCTTGTTTATTTGCTCTCATTTTATTAGTGACTGTTCACTTGTCCGTGATAATGTTGTATTAGGAAGGCTTGTAGCTTTCACTGTGGTATCGAAGTCCTTGAAGTGTTCCTGATCCGAAAAATTATCTCAATTAAGTGGCATCAACAGCACTGGCACTTAGCAATGAGAATCTGTGCATATAATCTGCGTTTATAATCACGCTCTCACAACCCGAACTTTCAGCGAAAATGATTTTAAACAAAGACTGAGTTCCCACAAAAATAAAAATGATCCCATAACACTTACCCTAAAGCCACGTATGACTTTCTTCTTTCAGCCAAACACAATCAGAGTTATATTAAAAAAGATCCTGGCTCTATTTTCCTGGATATTTTCCAGATATAAATATAAAGATATTTTCCTGTTATCATTGTAAAGCTGCTTTGAAACAATCAGTTTTGTAAAAAGCGCAACATAAATAAAGGTGACTGACTTGACTTGACAATGCTCTACTGTTTGCACTGCAGAACAGCTCTGGTTTAACTCAACCAAAACTTTTCTTTTACTTTAATTAAAACTGGGATATAAAGCCACACACAAAAAAAGGAATTGCTATTGCTGGAGCTGTTTGCTCCAGCAATAGCATACCAAATATGCTATTGCACATTATGAGGATTTTCAAAATATAGACCATGCACAGA